AGCGACCCGAGCCGCTGCGCGCGGCACGTGCGCGGCCTCCACGGGCGGCAGCGGGTGCCGCGGGCCGTCCTGTTCTGGACGGCTTCGAACCTCAAGGCCTAAGTCAGGCCTGTCCCTGTACAGGGGGAATAGTCCAAAAATCGTCAAAACATAGCGGGGGACTTTTTTTTGTCAGCTTTTTCTGATTATTTGTTTTGATTTTTTGTTGGGAAATGTGTTTAATTTTTCGTCGACAAGCCCCCTGTACGGGGACACCCCCGACTTAAGTCAAGGCAGGAGAGTCGACGAAGAAACAACTGCATAAGTATGTAAACTTGCGAGGGCCCGCGCGGATGTCTTAGAGCTGGCCTCGGCTCTCCGCTCCTGCCTCTCCCCCTGTGCCCCGGGCAGCTCTCTGCGCGCCCCGCCCCGCGCCCCGGCCAGCGCCCCCCACCGCTCTCGCACCCGCCTGCGCCCGCTGGCCCGCCGGCGAGGCGAGGCGTCCGCGCGGCGAGGTGCCACGGGGTGCCACGGGGTGCCGCTGCGCAGTGGGCTTTTCCGAGGACCGACGGGTGGCACGTTCGGGCCGGGCGAAAGTGGGGGGATAGCATTCAGTCGGGCTTGTCCCCCTACAGGGGGGATTTTCGGCGAAAAATCAACAATACCCCCAAACGAATCAAAACATAGTCCGAAAATAGTATGGGGACTATTTTGGGACTTTTTGTTTGCCTTCTTGGTGTAGTTTGGGGGTATTTGTTATTTTTCGTCCAAAATCCCCCTGTGGGGAGACACGCCCGACAAAAGGATAGCAAAGGGGGGGGGGGGGAGAATCAGCTCACGTAGCTGACCTTCCCAGCGCCTCCAGGCGCCGGGAGGCGCCCACGCATCGGGGAATGGGCCCCGCGGCGGGGCCGACACCAGCTGCACGCAACAGATTTCGTACCCCCCCCCGTTCCCAATCCCCCCCCTTTCGTCCGGCCCGACACCTCAAGCTGGGCGGTGGCACAGCGTCAGGAGAGCGAACCTCTTCCGCTAAAAGCTAGGCGGGCTAAGCACAGCTTTAATTAGGGAGACAGGGCACAGGAAGGCGGGGCCTCAGGCGGCCGGAGCGGGCGGGGCCCGGGGAACAGGCGGTGCCGAAGTGGATGTGCAGGAAAAGGTACGCCATGGACAGGGACCGAGGGCGAAGACCCGGAAGGCGAAGGAAATGGTGTATCCGTCAGCGGCATTTCGCGAACACCAGCCTCAAGCACGAGCCCCCAAAAACATGCAACGTAACAGACTTCTCGTGCTCTACACGCTCGGCCTCGCCAGCCTGCTGGGCTCCCCCTTTCCCATTGTCGTCATGGCGGCACCGAGCTCCGGGGGCGGCGGCCTGCCCCGGGCTTCCGCATCCCACCACGTCTGCGCCAGTTGCCTTCGCTGTTCCAAGCAATGCCTGGGCTCACTCCTCCCTCCTCCCGCCTTCCTCCTCCTCCTCCTTTTCCTCCTCCTCCTCCTCCTCCTCCTCCTTTTCCTCCTCCTCCTCCTCCTCCTCCTCCTCCTCTCCTCCCCTCCTCCTCCTCCTCCTCCTCCTCCTCCTCCTCCTCCTCCTCCTCCCTCCTCCTCCTCCTCCTCCTCCCGCCCCCTCCTCCCTCCACCTCCCCCACCTCCTCGTGCGCCTGGCGCGATGGCCGTGCGCCCTGGCGCCAGCCTGGCCTGGTTCGACCCCGCGGCGCCGTCGCCCACGGCGGCCTCGCAGGCCCCCGCGCGCGCGCGGGCAGACCCCGGCAGGCAGGCCTCCAGCGGGCCTCCGGCGGGCCTCGGGCGGCCTCGGCGGCCAGCGGCGGCCCTTGGCCGCGAATGCTGCGGCGGCGACGGCGGCGGCGGCAGCGACGGCGGCAACGGCGGCGGCAGACGACGACGGCGCAGCGGCGGGGGCAGCGGTGATTGCGAAGGCTCGGTGCAGCCTTCGACCCGACGAAACCGGGGCGGCTGCTTTTGCCGACGTCGCGCCTCTGACCGAAGATCCGCCTGGGCCCCCAGGACAAGGTTCGGGGGTGGACAGAACCCCCAACAGTGACACGTCGATTAATGTTTTGTCCGTTTTCGGTTCTCGAGAGGGCGCCGTGGCCGCTATTTTCCAGGCTTGCGCCCGCCAGGTTTGGGCCTCAGGTCGTTTTCACTAAACCACGTTTTACTAAATACTAAAGGGGGGTCTGTCCATCCCCGAAAGGTACAACTTTTCCTGGGACGAAAGCCCAGCGCAAGGGATAGGATCGCGAGTCTCGGAACAGTATTGGCGCCGAAGGTCTTGGGCCACGGCGGCAGCGGGCGGCGGCAGCCACAACCACAACGGATCGAGAGAGAGAGAGAGATTGATAGAGAGACCAAAAAATCGAGAGAGAAAGACGCAGAAAATGGAGGGGAGGGGGAGGGATGAGGGAAAAGCGAGGAAGGAGGAGAGATGAATCAGGCCTGCTTGGATCGCGTTGTTTGTATCAGCTTGTGTGTCGGGGGGCGGGGAAGAGGAAGCAGAGAGCGAGAGGAAGGAAGAGACGTCGGGGGGAGGAGGAGCGAAAGAACCAGGTGGAAGGGAGGGAGCAGCCAGCGGCAGTCGGCGGTATCGGAGACGGCGGCGATGGCAACTTCGGCGGCGACGGCTCGACGATGGCAAAGGCGGCGGTTGGCGGCGTCCTGTCGATTGCCAAGGCGGCTCGACTGGCGGCCGACCTCTCGCCAAGGGGGGCACTGGCAAGCCTAGGCAGCGGAGCGGTTACGCGACGAGGGCTCCTCTCTGCGACGGGGTGCCTTACCAGAGGCCCGCGTCGTTCCTCAGCCCTTCCGCTGGGGCGCAAATTGTTTTTCCCGATGGGCCCACATCTTGCTGATATCGTCCTTCCCAGGGTGCTCAAGTTCAAAGAACGCGCCCAGATGCGGACCACAACTGGCTTGCCCAGCGCTCTCGCTGCAGCGGAGGTTGGCTTAGTGGGCCCCAGAAACGGCAGGGCCGTGTTTTCATTGTTTTCGAAAAGTGTCTCTTGAACATGTAAGCGGCAAAAAAACGGCGACCGGAAACAACAACAAAAACGACTCTTGGATTGGAACCAGAGCCGGAACCGGTGAAAAAACAGCGACGGAACCGGGAAACAAACAGTGTCGGAACTGGGAACGAAAACGGCACAAGGGAACCGGTCAAAGAAGAAACGGTACTGTCGTTTCCAGGGCGCGCCGCGCGCTGCGCAGGCCTCGGCGGTCGGTGCGGAGCCTCGGCACGGGTACGCCTGGGATCGGCACGCTTCTTCCCAGGGCACATCGGTCTCCAGCGGCTGCTCGATGGCATCGGGCGTCGTCCCGGGATGCCCCGACTTCAATGGAGGAAAACCGCCTGGACCAGACAATTGGCGTTCGCGGAACGGCCCTGGGCGTTTCCTAAACGGTTCTGCCTTGCTCGACTCCTTCATTGGGCGCTTTTACTGAACGACTTCGCGTGCGGGGTGGTTCTTATGGGGGTGGTGTGTGTGACCCTCACGACTGCCTCTTCGCCGCAAAGCAGAGCCTGCGGGTCGGCCGCTTCTCTGAGGTGTAGGAGGGCGGCGAGTCGTTTTCAGGGTTTGGGGGGCGGTTCCTGGGACCTCGGGCCGGTCATCGCTGGACGTTCGCTCGTGGGAGAGGGTGTCAACAAGGACGCCTTCGAGGGCGCGAAGTCGCGAAGTTATTCGCGCTTCGCGCTTCGCGGTTCGGCTCCGATTCCTTCTCCTCCTCCTCTTCTCCCCTGGGAGGCCGCGCGGGAGCACGAAGTTATTCGCACTTCGCGCTTCGCGCAACGCGAAGCGCGAAGTTGGGAGCCCTTGTGCCAACGGGCGTCTTGTGGCGTCAAAGGTTGCGGGCTCCCCTGCGGGTCGGACAAACGTAGGCCACCATAAGCGCGGGCAGCTGCCATGTTTCTGTGCCGTACTTCCCTGCAGAATCACAGATGCATCGGGTGGCCATTGAGATCAGGTCGAGAGCTCAACGTGAATCTCAATGAGCGGCCTCCGTATGATTTTCCAAAGCTCTGAAGTGCCGTCTAGCTGTAGCTACACCAGGTCGGGTGCAAGGTCCCGCAAGGCATGCGGGGAGGGCAGAACAAGTTTGCAGGATTCCTGCTGTGGCGAATTCGCGGGCATCCACAATATTTCCTATTGCAGTAGCGCTGGCTGGTTAGGCACCGATTTCTATCACGGCGTCTACCGCGATGTAATTATATTATTGCTCGTGCTTGTTGAGGAGACGGCGGCATCGGACAAACGGCCAGCAGAATGGCAAAATCTGCAATCATGGTGTGATGACCTACATCAGCACATCTGCAGGTTGCGTATGGGGCGAGCTTGTAGCGTGGGGCAAGTGTTCGAAGTCCTGCGACAGCGGCACAAGGGAACGGACAAGGGCATGGCGGTCACTGGCCAAAGGTGGTGGCAAACCTTGTGAGGAGCCCACAGCTGTATCTGGAGAGTGCAATATGTTATCATAAGGGAGCGTGCCCGACCACCACCACGAGGATTGATTCACGACAGGAATTAGGTCCTCCATGCTACCATGTTCCTTTGCTGGCCCGTGCGGGCGGTCATCGTTTTATGTGTTATAACTGTCTCGTGGTTGTCACTGTCTGTCCCATCATCATACGGATTCCTTTCCTGAGCGTCGCGTCTTGTCATCTGATCGTGTTGCTGGTGAGAGGTCTGCAAGCTTGGTTCTCACACTGTTGAAGCTGAGGGGCACTGAATAAGGGAAGGCGGGGAAACGGAATACCCTTTTGCGTGTTTTACAGGAGGGCACTTGCACCCGCCAGTGCTCGGGGAGAGGATGAGTTCGCAGAGTCTCTAGAATGGAGGAAAACAACCTCGCAAACACATGGGAGTTTACGGCTTGGGGCGAAGGTGTTTGCTCTCTGTTTGGAAGACAGAGGGCCTTTTACAGAGGCTCCTCGGTGGCCTCTAAGACAGTGTTCTCTGGAACGCAGGAAGCCTCTCAAAGAAGCCTCTGGCGTCGCTCCCCGGCCCATGACCAGCATCCGCTCCGCACCGGCTCCCGACGCCCTCCTAGATCCCCTCCCGGCTGATTTGCCCCAGCCGCGTCCAGCAGCAGCTCAAGCCTCAGGAAAGGACGTCGGCGGCGGGCGGCGGCCCCTGGCCCGCCGACGCGACGCCGCCGCCGCCGCCCTCGCGCGCGCGCGCCGCCGAAGGCCCCCCCGCCGCCGAAGGCGCCCCCGGCGCATCCGCCGGCCGCGGCCGCGGCCCCTCCGCCGCAGCGGCAGCAGCCCGCGGGGCGCTCGGGCCCCAGCGCGGCGGCGGCCTCGCCACCCGCCGCGCGGCGATCCGCGGCGAAAGCCGCGGGCGGGGCGGCCGCTACGGTCTGGGTCGCCCAAGCGGGGTTGCCATGATCAGGGGAGGTCGGAGGATCGCGCGGCGTCGCCGCAGCAGGGCGGGGATGCACGCAGCACCGCGCAGCTGCGGGCCAGAGTGAGGGGGGGAACGCGGGGTGGGTCGCGTGTGGGTCGTGGGGGGGGGGGCCTTGTGCGAGGGCAACAACAACAGCAGCAGCAGCAACAGCAACAGCAACAGCAACACCAACACCAACAACAACAATAGCAATCATTTTACCCGAACGCTCAGTGTTCTCCCCAGTGCCAGGGTTTTCATGCGACGCCAGCCAATACCCCCACTTCGTGGGGGGGCAATGCAAGCTCTACCAAACATCCACACGACTCTCGGGAACCACCCACACCCAGCTTCCCGCCCTATGACGTCAGGACACTTCACTTCGTGGCGCGCGGACGATCGTGGATACTACACTGGCGTGGAGTACACACCCGCAGAGGTTGATCACTTGTTTGGGCCCCGCATGTGCCCCGCATGGTGGGTTGCGTCCTGGCGCCGCATGGGGTCCTCTTGAGAGGCTTTGGGGGGCTTCTTGAAAGCATGTTGGGGCCTCTTGGGGGCTTATTGGATCCTCCCGGAGGACTCTTGGAGCCGCTTGGACGCCTCCTGGGGCCATCTTGGGGGCCTCTTGGAGCCAACTTGGAGCCTCTTTGGAACCTCTTGGGGGCCTCTTGGAGTCCTCTTGGGGCCTCTTGGGACCATCTTGGGCGCCTCTTGCGGCCTCATGGGCGCCTCTTGGGGCCATCTTGAGCGCCTCTTGGGGCCATCTTGGGTTTTAAAGATTCATGAAGAGCCCGCGGGTGGATTTTGATATTTTTCGGATGAGAAAGTCTTGCGTTTGCATATGTTTTCGGAACATCGCATCTTGAAATTATTGAAATCACATTATGTTTGGCAGGATTTCGGCACGCGCGCGCGGCGGCCGCGCGCATGTGCACTTCGTGTCATTTTTTGCAAGGGATGGTGGCCCTCGTAGGCTCGCAACCGTTGTTGCAGAAGGTCGAAGCACCTGAAAAGGTTCCTCGCAAAGGCCCTTTTAACAGAAATGTTTAAAATCTGGTGGGTTTCCTAGGAATCCGCAAGAGCGCGCGGAAGGACATTTTGACAATTTTTTCTGAGAAAACCATTGGGTTTTTGATGTTTTTATGTTAAAATCGCTACGAAACCTAAGGTTTTGGAAGGATTTCGTCTTGCGCGCACGAATGTCCACTTTACCTTATTTTTTGCAAGGGATTCTTGCAATTTGATCAAGTAAAAACAAGAATTTTCATTTTCTATTGTTTTTTGCAAGGGAAAACGAGCGTCAACAAAAAACCGGATCCGGAGCTCATCCACTTTTCTGAAGCTTTCGCGAAAAAATGATGAAAATGTAGCTGCGGCCTAGGCGCGGCGCAGAGGTCGCGCACCAGGGGTCCCAACAATAATAATTCTTTAGAAGGAATAATGTTCAACAGGAACAACAGGAACAACAGGAACAACAACAACAACAACAACAGCAACAACAACACCAACAACAGCACCAACAACATCAGCAACAACAGCAAGCATGACAAATATATTCGCTCCTATCTGCCCACATAGATCCCAAACCCTCGGTACCCGCCGTCGTCGTCTTCGATCGTACCCCCTTGGGGGCATATTTTCCTTACCTGTCACGCGTATTTAGTGCAGCCCCTAAAACAAGGGAAGAGAGGACGGGTGGATGGGGGAGGGAGAATAATGTAGCACGAGAGAAATCATCAGGAGGGGGGCAAGGAGCAGAAATCAAGTGGTAGAACCAGACGTGCAGATCGGATGGTCAGACCCAAAGCGGGCAGGTGTTGAAGGCGGGCCCAGGCGACGAGGTCGAGCAGGCGGGTTGCTGAAGCGTGGGTCCTGCATGACTCGCGAGGAATTCTTACGCGATAGCGCGATTCCGAAGTAACTCGTGAGAAAAACCAGCGTGGGCAACGAATTGCATAAAATCCGAGGCCACCGAGTGCAGCGACGTGGCCACTCAGGGCAGCACCAGGGCCACGAAGGGCAGCGAGGGGCCCACAAAGGGCGACAGCGGGGCCACGAAGGGCATGTATATGGGGCCACGACGGGCGCGAGCGAGCGGGGACCACAAAGGGCATTTGTATACGAGGCCACAAAGGGCGACAGCGGGGCCACTGAGGGCAGCAAAGGGGCCACGAAGGGCAGCGAGGGGGCCACGAAGGGCGATAGCGGGGCTACGAAGGGCATGCGTATAGGGCCACGACGGGCGCGTGCGAGCGGGGGCCACGAAGGGCATGTAATGCGGGGTCACAAAGGGCAGCGACGGGGCCACTGAGGGCAGCAACGGGGCCACAAAAGGCAGCGAGCGAAGGCGACCGCGGAACCAGTACGGGCAGCGAGGGGCATCAAAGGCGGGCGAAGAGCAGCGAACGGCGACTGCAGTCATTAACGGGCTGGTCGGGCGGGCAGGCCCCCACGGGCGGGTCGAGCGGGCGGGTCGTTGAAGCGTGAGTCCTGCTTGAACCGCCAGGCAACATGCAGCGGGGGCGCGATACCTGAGTGCCGAAGACCGGCACTCTAATACATTGTTAAGAAATGTCAAACGAAGCGGCTCGGTGGTAAGTTGCGAGGAATTCCCAAACGAGAACGCGATTCTGCAATACATGGCCAGGAAGTATCAGGCGGGAGCCGCGATCCGGTGGTACATTGCCAGGAAATCCCAAGCGAGAGCGCAATTCTGAAATAGATTGTGACGAAATGCCAGGCGGGAACCGCTGTTGTTCTAAACCGGGGGGCAACGATACAGTTTGACCCTCAAGATTTTCCCTGGAAGAAAAAAAAGGGTGCGAGCCCCGGGAGGGGCACTTCAATGGAACATCACAATGCGCACCCGGGGGATCAACCAACATTATTTTTGAAATGAGAGCTTAGCAGCAACAGCAACAAGAACAACAATCACGTGACCCCATGTCTCAACGATTTTATATACAGCATGCATCCATCATGATAGCCCCCCCATCATGAGGGGTGTTGCCTTGCACGGTTGGGTCCGATATTCCCTTACCCAGATCTCCCGCCTGAGGAAGTCTTGACAACACCTCCCCGAGGCATTTCAATTTCTCCTGCCGGGGTGGCACATCGCTTTCGCAATCGCCCTGCCCATGCCTTGCTTCTGGGTATCACCAAGCCCGAGTGGCTTCACAAATTTGTGGGAGAGGCCCCACAACCTCTGGGAGAGCCCCCAGAGTCCTGTGGGCAGCCTCTGGTGCCCGTTGGGGAGCCCCCACAGTTTCTCACTGAAACTTCAGAACAATTGTGAGAATCGCGTGGGCGTTTGGGCGACGTTGTAAAACATGTGAGCTGGAGAATTCCGGGCCATCTTGAAGGAAACCTCCCGGCATTTTTTGGGAAAGGTTTGGATCGGAGGGGCTTCTGAGCATGGGGGAGGAAGAAGGGAACGGAGCAGGAGGAGGAGGGAGGAAGGAGGAAGGATAAGTGAAAACGAGGGAAGAGGAGGAGGAGGAGGAGGAGGAGGAGGAGGAGGAGGAAGAGGAGGAGGAGGAGGAGGAGGAGGATGTGGAAGAGGAGGAGGAGGAGGAGGAGGAGGAGGAGGAGGAGCAGCAGGAAAAGAAAAGGAAAAGTAGGAGGAGAAGGAGGAGGGGGAGAGGAGGACGAGGAGGAGGAGGAGGAGGAGGACGACGACGACGGGGTCGCCGCCGCGGGTTTTCGGGCCGCCCCTGGCATGCGGAGCGCGCCAGGAAGGCACCAGTGCCTACCTCCGACAGAGCATGCTGTATTGTTGAGGATCAGCACGAGGGATTAAAAGAAGCTCCAGGGCCTCTGGAAGCCATGAGTCAAAACGGAGCAAATATCAAACGACAGCGTCTATGTTTGCAAAGGTAGCCGCTTGCGGCGCCGAGGCGGGAACGCTGGTCGTGAGTAAACAAACGACTTATTTCGTTCAAATAAGAAAATCCAGCCTGCAACAAACAGATATAATCTGGACCACCGAATCCCACTTCACCCATGCACCCAGGAATGGTGCAAGATCGCTCGGCCCCTCCACCCTTGTCCATATCCGCGGCGTGGGGAACCGACGTCGTGGGACTTCAGCGGACGGTGGATGTGTGTGTGTGTGCGTGCGTGCGTGTGTGTGTGTGTGTGTGTGTGTGTGTGTGTGTGTGTGTGTGTGTGTATTTCCATATATATATATATGTATCTGTATTGGCCCCTCGTGGACCAGACATACCGTTTTCTATCGCCTGCCGAAGTCCCCGAAGGTCGATCCCCGGGGCCGTGGTTCTGAGTAAATACCCCCGCCCCGCAGCCGATGGGTCGACGATGGTGGGTCGCCCACCGGGGGCGTGGAGATGACCGCACGTCGCGCGTCGCAGTACGGTGATACCGAAGAGCTCCCAAGCTGTGGTTTCGAATTTTTGCCTGCCCAGCGCACGGCTCTGGCTTGAGGGCGTGACCGCATGAGGACGAAAGTGGAGTTACCTGCGCGACGCGCGACGTTTGGTGACATAAAGCGATGCGCAATGCGGCGGGGTCCAGAGCCCGATTGCCCCCATCCCGACGTCATCGACGCATCGCCGCCTCTTCGGCGAAGCGCCGCGATCCCTCGACCCCGACCTGCTCTGGCCCACTTGGGCGGCCTCCAGGCGGGGACCGCGGCGAAAGCCGAGGCGGCCGCGGCGGAGGACGAGGAGCCTCTCCCCTCCTCGGCGCCAGCCGTTCGCGCTCGTCGACCTCCTGTTTTGTTTCGATCCGTGCAGCGCTCCGGGCCCCCACTGGGGCGTTTCCCATCCGCCTGCGCTGCGCGGGAAGCCTGCCGGGGGGGAGCCGAGGCTCGGCCTCCCACGGCCGCCGGGTGCCCGAGTGGCGGCCCGAGCGTCCCGAGCGCCCGCCAGAGCGCGGAGTGGTGGCTCGGAGGCTGGCCGATCATGACAGTCCTCTCCTTGTTGGCCTTCGGGCGCCCTTCTAGTCGCCGCGGCGGGGCGCCGTTCGCAAACTGGAAGCTCCCAAACCAGGTGGTGAGATATCAGGTGGTGACCCGGAATCCTCAGAAAGTCATCGCCGGATTTTGGAACACGGGGTCACCACCGGGTTTTGTGGCTCCTGGACCCACCAGCGTTCGGGACATCTTTGGAAATTTACAGGAGTCCTCAAACCAGGTGCAAATTGCCCGAGACTCACCACCTCGTGCTGTCACCACCATGTTTGGGGCCTACCGAGTTAAACAAGCCTCAAGAGAGCCATGCCATCGGAGCAGCACAACCGCGCGGCCCGCTCACCTGCCCCAGAATGCATTTGGCCCCGACCATTCAGATTCAGTGCGTTTCCCTCACACCTGCTAATGGGATGCCCCGCTCGCTTCTCTCCCCATTAATGGCGCACCCATGCCCCGCGAATTGCCCGCTAATGACCCGCGAATGGCCCCGTTTAGCCCCATGAACGGCTCCCCTACGAGCAGGTCCATCCATGAATGACCACTGATGGTCCTCCAAAGGACTTGCTCATCACTCTTGGCTCACTGATGGGCACCTCATGGTCTTCAAATGGCGTGCTTCTCATATTTCCGTCGCTTTGTCGCGGTTGCAGAGGTCATTGGCGCATCATCAGGTGGCCATTCGAGTGCCATCAGCCAGGTCCGACGGCTCTGTGAGGTAGGGCCGCCGACCCAGATAAGAAACCCATCGATTTCTAGACATGCGTTCCATCAAGGGCCATCAGTCGAGTCCGAATATATTGTGAGTACAGTGGAGACCCACTCCGAGAAGCACCTTGCTTGCCTCCAGGGTGCCCTGGGTTTCTTGGGTTTCGATGGCTTTGCTATGGAAGGCGTGACGTTCCCACACCAACAATTAATGGACGTTCTGGCCTCCACTGTATGGGCCCTTCGCCCCAGGTCGGGACGAATAGTGCCAAGGAGGGGTTCAAGGACCTGTCTCGCGCCGAGGTTCGTCCGCAGGACCCTGGCATCCCGGCACCATGGAATAAATAGTGCCACGACCAGCGTAATTAGTCGCCCTGAGTCCGGGTCCCGGTGCCCTGACGGGTATTTCAAATTGGAGAGGTCTCGCAGAGAGATTGGTCTCCGAGGTCCTGTGTAGATGTTTCACGGCGTTGCGGCTTTAGCACGTCGCCAGATCCCTCAGCGGATCTTTGGAAGTTCCCCAATAGAAGGGTCCGCGGAGGTCTCGAGAGGTCGCATGACGTCCCGGGGATGTTTGCGCGGACGCTTCTGCGCCTCAGGAGTCCCCCCAAGGACAAGCAACGTAACAAAAACCTTTATCTTCGATCTTCGAATGTCGTTATTTTTTTTCGACGAAGCTACTTTTTTCACGGCGCCGGGTCTCAGGACGGGGGCGCGGGCGCGGCTTGGGGCGACGACCTCGGCGACCTGGGCGACCTGGGCGTAGAGGCGTCGCTCGGTCGGAACCACGAGGGGTTCGACCTTGTCCTCTTTCTCGTCGTCGTTGTAGTATTCGTCCATCTCTTCCTCCCCCTCCTCCATCCGCAATCCTGCCTGGTTGAGGCTTCTCGCCGTGCGGTTATCGTAAGCATGGAGCCATGGTTTTCAGTGTCACTTCTCCGTCTCACCCATCTCTCCAATCTTATTCCTCTTCAGACTCCCTTTCTCTTTTTTTTATCTCTCTCTCTCTCTCTCTCTTCCTGGTTCCTTGTGTTCATTGGCGTATATCTATGTATGTATTGATTTCTCTCTCTCTCTCTCTCTTTCTTCCATTCGCTCTCTCTTTCTCTCTGACCAAGACGTATCCGTCCTTCGGCGACTTTAGTAAGCTCAGACCAATTGCGACCTAATCATACCCGTATCTATTCATGAACACACCCGATCGCATTCACCCATCACACTCATGCTCTGAATCACTTACACTCTGACTCACTCAGCACTCAGACTCGTTCACGATCAGACCAAATCATACGCATATCCACCCATACCCGAATCCATTCAAACTCAGCGACTGATGCTCAAACTCAGTCACATTCATGCCCTTCATACCCAGCCTCAGTCATGCTAGTACTCAGTTATACTCAGACGCAATATTTAACAGATCCACCTGAACTCAGACTCTACGCACAGGCTCACTTACCCAAACTCGTAGATTCACGCTCAGAGTCACGTACACTCAAAGCCCCTCATACCCAGACTTCGTCAAACCCAGATTTTGATATGGTCAGATCCACGCATGACCGCAGATCCACCCGTTCTCAGAGTTGGCCATGCTCGGAGACCCAAACCCCGATACACTCACACCCAGACAGTTTCATATTCAACCTGATTCACACTCTGACTCACTCATGCTCAGACCTTTCCGTCGCACTCACGCTCAGACCCACTCCTACTTAGACTCACAGATGCCCAGATCCATCCTCGCTCCTCCCTCTATGTTCATCCTTCCTGACCCGCCCAAGAGGGGGCGCGTCCAAGGTGTTCCACGGTCCCGTTCGCGCGCAGATCGTGGGGACCCTTCAGACAGAACGCCCGTTTTTCGGGAAAGCAGGAAGTACCGATACCGCTATTCCCTGAACCTCTCCCAGGGTGGGGTCTGGCCAGGATCTCGTCGCGAATCCCAGCGGTGGCGACGAGGGCCTCCCAGGAGGCCCGAAGAGGGCAGAATGGGGGAAAAGGCAGCGGTATGGGTATACTTTTTCCTCCTCCGAGTTCGCGGGCAGATCGTGGGGACCTCTCAAATAGAACGACCGTTCTCGCACCTCGGACGTCCGTGCCCTGATCGTCGCGACGCGGCAGGCGTAGCAACGTTTGGGCCCCCACAAAGCGGGGTTGTCGACCAGGGGGTGTCACGGGCCCGCTCGCGTGCCCAGACTGCTGGGGTCTCTCGGGCAGGGCGCCCGCGTGGGCACGTCGATCTCCTCGTTGTTCGAGGCCTCATGGCCGCCGCGATGCAGCATGTAACATGTAAGAACAAGCGCTTGTGCCTCCAGAGGGGGTATTCACCAGGAGCGTCAACCAAGAGGACGAAAACCACAGTGCGGAAGGGCGGAAGGAAGAGGGTGGGAGAAGGACAGCCGGGATGCTGCCATGGGGCCCTGAGGTCGATGCTCCTTAGGTCCTCCCATGGCTGCTCCTCTAGCCCTCCTCGTGGGCCAAGGCTCTTCTGGAGCCAGAAAGTGGCTTCGTTCCTTACATGTCGCGTTCCTGCTTTCAGCAGCCAGGCTGTAGGGGGATGACGAGGGCGAGAGACCCGACGGAAGATTACGGAGGAAGAGGAAGCACTGGAGGGTGATGGCAAGAAACAGGAGATGGGGAGGTGGGGAGTGTCGCTCCCCTTCACATTTTTGTTCCTCGCCCTAGCTCCTCATATATTGCCCGTTTGCCCGGGAAGGCGCGCGTGTCTGTTAGCGTCCCCAATCCTTCGTGTTCTGGGTTGTCTACCTCCCGCTTTCTCTCTCTGTCTCTACATTTGCCCCGTGGGGTTCGTGGTGGGGAGCGGGAAATGCTACAGAGAAAGAGAAGGAGAACGAACACAAGCGGGACGAGGAGAGAGTACAAGGAGAAAGCATGACGACGATAACATATTCGACGATAAGAGAGGGAGACCAATAGTGAAAAGGATGACGAAGAGAAGGAGCGAAGGTTTGTCTTCCCTCCCTCGTTCTCTCTCTCTCTCTCTTTCCCTAAAAGGCCTCCGAGGTCCCTACAGGTCCCCCCAGCAGGCCTCCCAGGAGGCCCCAGGCAGACCAAGTGAGCGACAAAGCATGCACGAAACAAGAGAACTTCCACCGCTATCTCGGGAACAACGCCGACGCCGACGCTGATGACGACGGCGGCGATTACGACGCTGACATCGACGGCGACGACGACAATGGCCACGACCATGGCGACGCCAACGACGCCGAAGCCGACGCCGACGACGCCGACGCCGACGCCGACGCCGACGCCGACGACGACCGCGGCGCGGAGGCCACCGCGGCCAGCAGTGCGGAGCAGAGCCCGCCGGCGGCCCAGAGCGAGCCCGTCGTCGCCGCTGCCGTCGCCGTGGCCGCTGCCGGCGCCGCCGCCGTCGCCGCCGCCGCCGCCGTCTGCCGCTGGCGGTCGCTGCCGTGAAGAAGAGCTCTGTGTGGACGTTGACCCCTGTCGGGTGTCTGGACGGAGCCCAATCCCTACATTGAAATATGCATATATACATATACATATATATATAGATAGATACACACCTCTGATTGGTAGTACCTGTGTCTCCCGAGGCGTGGCGGACAGGAGCACGGAGCGTGCTGTCCCTTCCTCGTTCGCCTGGTCACGCCGAGACGGTCTTGACCTGAGAGTCGCCTCTCGATGACCGTGCCAAGTCAAGTCAAGTCGATGTTGCCGTCGCCAGCGTCGCCGTTTGTCCCTGCCACCGTCGCTGTCGCTGTCGCGGCTGCCGCCGTCTCTTTCGCTTCTGATGTTGTTGTGGGGGTGATTCTGGAGGTCTTCGTCGCTGTAGATGGGCGAGGCTTGAGACGCTGGCCGGCAGTCATGGAGGGATCGGGCGACCAATTATGTGTGGATGTTTTCCACGTCGCCGTTGTTGTCGTCGTCGTCGTCGAAGCCAGCGCCGTCGCCAGCGTTCCAGACCGAGGTTCTGGGGTGCCAGACAGGGCTTCTGCAGGTCTTCGAGGATCTCCGAAGGCCCTTCAGTGAATTCCTCAGACCTCCAGAGGCCTCTCGTCGTCGTCGCTGACGTCTTCCTCCCGATTCTCTCCCCTCCCGCTTTGCTCCGTCTCCTACTCCTCCCGCGCGCGCGTTCCTGCGAAGGGGTATGGAAGGGAGCAGGAGAAGAAAGAGGAGAAGGAGGATCGAAAAGGGAGTGACTGTCGAGGAGGGCGAGGAGTTGTAGCGCGGTTTGCCTTTTTTTCTGGCCGCCGAGTGCGATGACCACCCGGCGCAAGCGATGGCTGCCCGTATTGCTCCCCGCCGCCTATGGCGCAACCAATACAGTGGAGACCGATGCCAAGAAACATCCTGCTTGCCTCCAGGGTGCCCTGGGTTTCTTGGGTTTCGATGGTTTTCCGATGGATAGACTGACGTTCCCACACCAAAAATGGATGGACTTCCTGGGGTCTCAGGATTGGGTTTCTTGTGGAAGGTTTCTTGTGGATTGGCTTCCACTGTAAAAGGTTTGTTGAATTATGTTTGCCAGCAGATGGAGCCACCTGAGGCGCAGCCTGCGGCGCACCCCGCAGCAGATGGCACAACCTCATGGTGCAGCCCATGGATGACGCAACCCATGGCGCAGCCCGCGGATCGCACAACCCATGGATCGCGCAACCCGCGCACACAACGGATGGCGCAACCCATGGCACAACCAGAGGACGGCGCAACCCATGGCGCAGCGGCGTCACCCCTGGATCGCGCAGCCCCCAGTACGCACTTCCTGGCGCAACCCATGGATTGACCATGGCGCAGCTCATGGACGGCAGAGCACATGGCGTGCCCCATGGATGGCGCAAGCAATGGCTCGCAGCACGGGTGGCACACTGCGCTGGCAGTCTCTTCGGGGCTACGCTTAAGTCGGGCATGTCCCTCTACAGGGGGAATGTTCAAACATAGTCCAAACATAGTCTGGGGATTGTGCGTTGAGTATGCTGGAGCATTTTTTCTATATGTCTGGAGTATTTCTTGTTTCGCGTCAAGAATCTGCCTGTAGGGGGACACGCCCCGACCCAAGGCCACGCTGGCCTGCTGCTCGCCGTTTGGGCTGGCGGCGGGGCCCAGGCGGCGGGCCACCCCGTGGTCTCGCGTGCCCCTGGGCCCGCCGCCCTGCCATGCCGGCGGCCGACGCTGTGGGTCGAGGCGGGGGTCTCGACGCCCCAAGGTCTGCAGGGGGGAGGCGGGCGGCGCACCGCGAGGACGCGAGCGAGCGGGAGGAGGACGACGAGGGCGACGATGACGACGAGGCCGAAGACGACAGGGGCGAAGGCGCGGCCTGCTGCCTCGGCGGCGACGATGGCGGCGACGACGACGACGACGACGACGGCGACGACGACGGCAGCGACGACGACGACGACGACGACCCCGACGGCGACGAGGACGAGGACGACGAGAGCATGGGCGTATACGGCGGCAGAGAGCGCGGGGGCGCCGCGCGGCCGAGGCCCGCCGGGACTGCAGCGACGGCGCCGCCGAAGGCGGAGGCACCTTGGGGGCCTCCAGAGGGGGGGGCCCTCCTCCTTCGGCTCCGGCTCCCGCGCGAGCGCCTTCTGTTCCTGGCCTCGGAGGAGGAGGAGAAGGTACCCATCTGGCTACCCTTCTCCCGTGTTCCTGGGAGGCCCTCGCCGCCACCGCCGGAGTCGCCTCGACATGCTGGTCAGAACGCGCCCCAGGAGAGGTCCGGAGAGTAGCGGCATCGGTGCCTCTAAGTTCCCCAACTCCCGCCCATTTTCCTCGTCCTTGTCTTGCTCCTTTCCCTCCCCTTCGTCCACCTGCCAGCGCCAGGGTATTTGTCGAGGGGTGGGGCTTGTCAGCCACCTTGTCGCAGGAGGGTAGCCAGTACTTGGTCCGTGGTTCCCTCTTGGATACTTGTACCCACAAGCCAACCGACTTCGAACAAGTCCTTCTCTGACCGTTTTCTCATTCATTGTTTTGCCGATCGGCGCGGGCCCTCGTACCACCCCCTCCCTCCCCATGGGGTAGATCTTGATTGTTTTTGGCGCCTCATTCGAGCAGATGGAGTCCCGCCCCCATGAGACGCACTGTTGCAAACAGTCGCGCAAAGCAGAGGTCTGGAGCCAGACCCTCCCCCTCCCCCCCCCCCCGTTCTGCCCAATGTCGAAACGCCGAATACGAAAATCTTGACCAGTCGCCGTTTCCAATAACTACACGTGGGCCAGCGTGGCCCACAGACAGTAGGCTCTTGCTCTCACTCTCTCTCTCTTTCTGTCTCTCTCTCTCTCTCGCTCTCTCGATCTGCAACCTGTGTGGCGCAAGTTGTGCGTGGTGCAATCTATGTGGTGCAATCCACTCTGCTGAACTTGAAGTCGTCATCTCCACTGCTCGCGCAAACATCCCACCCACCCACCCGCAACTTGGTTTGCAAAACCTCTTAAGACCGACTACGACGACACCGACGACAACAACTACAACACTGACGACGACTTCGACGACAACAACGACGCCGACGCGCGACGACGACGAAGACGACGACGACGACGACGACGCCAACGAAGGCGACGACGAGGGAGGAGGAAGGACGACGACGGCGACAACGACGACAACGACGACAACCACGAGGGAGGAGGGAGGACGGCGACGACGCGAACGACGAAGAAGGAGGAAGGACGGCGACGCTGAAGACGACAACGACGAGGGAGGAGGGAAGACGACGACGACGACGACGACGACGACGGCGACGAAATAGGAGGGACGGCGACGAGACGCCGACGACGGACGAAGACGACGACGCGGGAGGAGGAGGAAGGACGACCACGGCGACAACGACGACGGAAACGACCACGACGCCAAAGAGGACGACGACGACGAACACGAGAAAAGACAGAGGACGACGTAGGCGACGACGACGACGACGACGCGGGAGGAGGGAGGTCGGCGACGACGACGACGACGACGACGACGCAAGAGCGCGCGCGCACGCTTTTGTTGAAAATCCGTGTTGGGAAACCTTGGGTTTTTGTATGTTTTTTGGACGCACGATTTTGAAATCCTTCCGAAACCGATGGGTTTTGAAGGTTTTCGGCATACGCCCGCGACGACGCGCTGCACTTCGTTTTTTTTTTGCCGAGGATTCTGGCATCGGCACACGCGCAAGGGCGTTCGACAGATTTCAACATGCGCGCGCGCGAAGCCCGTTTGGTAGCACTTTGTGAAAATCTTGAAGAACCTATGGTTTTCTCAAGATTTCGCAAGAGCTCGCGCGGAAGCTTTATTTGCAAATCAGTGTTGCGAAACCATGTGTTTTTGTATGTGTTTTGTTGGAAACTCGATTGCGAAATCCTTCTGGCACCGAAGATTTTTGAAGGATTTCGGCATGCGCGCGCGACGACGCGCGCGTCTGCACTTCGTCCAATTTTTTGCAAAGGATTCATGAAAAAGTGTTATACTAGAACAAAGCATGTCACCGCATAGTGTTTTTTTAAAAAGGAACCTCAGGGGCGGGAGCCCGGCCTGGCTGGGATGGTATGATTTCATATTTAGGATGGGCGAGTATGCAGAATATCTATACATATAAATATATATATATACATGTATATATATACACATGAGATCATACTATCCCAGGTGGAAGCGATAAGTCCGAGGGGAGGGTAGAGTCTATTCCTTTTTTTTAGAAAGAAGAATCGAGATGGTGCACTCTGAGCCCAGTATGTGGTTGATCCATAACTTCTGCCTCGGGGATCGAGCCTCGGGGCTTCGGCAGGCGGTGAATATAGATAGCTTCGGGCGTGGTGTGCGGGATATATATATATATATATGTATATATACATACATACATACATACATACATACATACATACATACATACATACATACATACATAGACATATATATATATGTATTGATCCACTGCCTGCCGAGATTACCGCAGCTCGATTCCCCGGGCGCTGGTCATGGACACGTGCCCGCCTCGCACAATGTACGCGGTGTAGTTTGATTGTGATGCCATTTGTGTGGTGCAGTACGGGAGGTGCAACCCATGCGGTGCAGCATGAGTGCTGCAACAACGTGGTGTTATATCGAAGGGTCTTCGGCTAATCCCGCCGTTGTGCCTGGCTTGTGGGTCAGAGTCCTCGGGGATGCTTCTTGGGGCTCTCTTCGGATCGCTCTCGATGGCGTGCTGCAGTTTCCTTTGTGTTTGAGCCTGCACACGCACGTTCCGCACATACACTACATAAGCCGCGTCCGGGGCCCCGCGGCCCAGGGTCGCACACTTTTCCCAAATTCCCCCATCCCCCCCGTAACCGAATTTGCCCCCTGGGCTGCGGGGGCCTTTTTTGGCATCCAGGGGCCCGTTTTCGGAGTCTCGGAACTTTCTCCGCTTCCCCGAGGCGTCCACCTAGGCTTGTGGAAACGGCAAGAAGCAGCCAAAAAGGCCCAAGAGCGCTCCAAGCCGCCCAAGATGGCCCCATGATCGGCCCAAGAGGACCCCAAAATGCCCAAAGGTCGCTCCGCGAGGACCTCCAACAGAGCCCCAAGACGCCAAACTCATTGATGTTCATTGTGTGCTTCCAATATTGGAGAGGCCTGACGGCCGGTGCAGCCGACCCTGATCGAAAGGGCTAGGAGTGGGAGGAGGAGGAGGAGGAGGAGGAGGAGGAGGAGGAGGAGGAGGAGGAGGAGGAGGAAAGGAGGAGGAGGAGGAGGAGGAGGAGGAGGAGGAGGAGGAGGAGGAAGGGAGGAGGAGGAGGAGGCGGCGGAGGCGGAGGCGGAGGCGGAGGCGGAGGGCGGAGGAGGCGGAGGAGGCGGAGGAGGGAGGAGGAGGAGGAGGAGGAGGAGGAGGAGGAGGAGGAGGAGGGAGGAGGAGGAGGGGAGGAGGAGGAGGAGGAGGAGAGGAGGGGGAGGAGGAGGAGGAAGGAGGAGGAGGGAGGAGGAGGAGGAGGAGGAGGAGGAGGAGCAGGAGGAGGAGGAGGAGGAGGAGGAGGAGGAGGAGGAGGAGGAGGAGGAGGAGGAGGAGAGGAGGAGGAGGAGGAGGAGGAGGAGGAGGAGGAGGAGGAGGAGGAGGAGGAGGAGGAAGTGCATCTTTTGTGTGCCCGCTCGAAGAAAGTGCGCCCCGGGAGTGTGATATTCTGACTTGGGACGTGCTCCTGGAAGAGGAAGAAGTGCATCTCGGGCGTGCCCGCTCGAGGAAAATGCGCCCTATGGGGGTGGTATTTTGACTCGGGGCCCGCTCCCGGGCGCCTCTGCGGGAGGAGGAGGAGGAGGAGGAGGGAGGAGGAGAGGAGCAGGAGGAGGAGGAGGAGGAGGAGGAGGAGGAGGAGGAGGGAGGAGGAGGAGGAGGAGGAGGAGGAGGATGCATCCCGTGCGTGCCCGCTCGAGGAAAGTGCGCCCCGGCGGGCGTCGTATCTGCCCCGGGACCTCCCCCCCCCCCCCATCCCTCCCCCCCCCTGCGGGGAAGGGGTCAAAGGGAAGGGGCTTCCCTTCGACTCCACTAGGACGTCGTTTAATTTCGCTTTGGGTAGCGCGCTTGGGGAGGAAAGCCTTGGGAGGGGGAGAACGGAGACGACGGAGACGACCAGTCGAACGGAGAAGCCCCTCACACACGCCGACAGGGTCGGCGGATTTGTTGCTTCTCACGTTTTCGAGCGGCCGGCGTTCCAAGACTGCCCAAGAAGCCTCCAACGTCGCCCCAAGAGGCCCCCAAGAGGCCCCCTAAGACAGCCCAAGAGGGCCGCATGATTGGCCCAAGAGGCCCCCAAAACGGCCCAAGAGGGCCTGAAGAGGGCCTGAAGACGGCTCCAAGATGGGCCCAAGAGAGGGAACGCGAACCGACCTTTCGAGTTTCCCGCCCCCAGAGACCCCCAGGAGGCCTCAAGAGGCCCCCAAGTGGCTCCAAGAGAATCCAAAGAGGCCCCAAAGATGCTTGAGAGAGGTCCGACAAGCTCCACAACGCCCCCGTGGAGGCTTCAAACCTGCTTCCAAAAGGCCCCCCGAGAGGCATCCCACGATATCATCCCAGCGAACATCCGAGAAGCCTCTGACCCACAACCCAGACACGGTTGCGGGATGGGCCCAGAACCCCGACCTTTGGTTCGCATGGGGGACTGGGGGGGCCTTGAGGGCCCCAGGAGGGTTCAGAAGGGGCCCCGGACCCCTCCAGAGGCTCCAAGCTGGCCCACGATCTCCCCAGGAGGCTCCAGAGAGCCCCCCAAATGCCCGAACATAGGCGTCCTCTGCCCCAAGAGGCCTCCAGGGGGCCCCAAGAGGGTCCCAGGAGGCCTCCACGACGCCCCAAAAAGTTAACAAAAAGGCTTCACAAAGACCCGAGAAGCTCCCGAGAAACCCTCACCGAGCTCGCAGGAGGCCTCTACACAGACCCTCAGAAGCCCGCCAGAAGGCCTTCGCTCCATGCTCCAGAACAGCCCTTCGGAGCACGTGGCCCTGGCTGCAACCCCCGACCCGCCCACCCAATGTCGAGGCCCGAGGACGCCCCCATGTCGCCCGAAAGACGCTCCGAAAACGCCTCCCCCGCACACGTGGATCAGGTGACAATGATGCTGATCGTCGGTGGTCCGTCGTCGTCGTCGTCGGTCGTCGCTGGTACGCTACATGCCAAACCCTTCCTTGAACTCCGCAGTATCCGCCCGAAAATCACCCATGGGCGAAAGGGAGGAACCCGGAACACCACATGGAAAAGGCCCCATGGAAATTGGCACCGTCTTCGGAGTCGAGAACCTGAGCGCGCCCGAAGCGCGCGCGTTATTCTAGTTTATATTTACACGTGTACATACACAAATATGTTGTGGAATTGTTGTGGTGCAACTTGTGCAGTCTGGGGGGAATCAAATATGATGCATCCGGCATTTTATAACATAATTGGCGCTATACATATGTTGCGCTCTGCGTGGGGTCTTGGATGCGTATGTCCACATGTTGTTTATGTGTCTGTTTATATATAAGTCATATGCGTATATTTAGATGTGCGCGTATGAACTTATATTCCCCAAAGAAGGTGCTCACTGCGTGGTGTTTATTTGTCTTCTAAAGAGCTGGTCCGTTTTGTCGGTATAGCGGCTCTGTGGCCGCCTTTGCCGCGTCGCCGACTCGTCGCCGCTCGTAACTTGGCCTGTCTGTCGGTCAGGCGGCTATGTGACCACCGTTACCGCCCCGTTGCCGCATCGTCGCCGCTTGTTTTTGGGCCTGTCTGTCGGTCTGGCGGCTATGTGGCCGCCGTCGCCGCCCCGTCGCCGCCTCGTCGCCGCCCGTCCTTGGGCCTGTAACCTTGTCGCCGCCCACACCGAAGTTCTCCTTTTGAAACAAGAGTAGACTCGACGCCCCCCCCCGGAGTCAACAGTACCCGTGGGGTGTTGCGATTTCATTTTTTTTGCACGTTCGTCCATCCTAAAGAGCTCGTACTATCCCAGCCAGGCCAGTATCACTCCCCCCCGCTACCTTTTTTGGAAAATAGTATGCGCTCGCACTCGCTTATCGAAAATCAAGTTCCCAGGGCTCCTTTGCAACAGATGAGACGAAGTGCACACGCGCACGTCGTCGCGCGCGCATGCCGAAATCCTTCAAAAACCTTCGGTTTGGGAAGCGTTGCAACATCGAGTTCCCAGAAAAAAACATACAAACCCATAGGGTTTCGCAATAATGATTCTCTAAAAAAATTGCGCGCGCGCTCTTGCGAAATCTTAAGGAAACCAGCGGTTTGTCAACAGTTTCAAAAATACTACCACACGGGTTTCGCGCGTGCGCATGTCGAAATTTGTCGTGCGCCCTTGCGCGCGTGCCGTTGCGAGAATCCTCTGCAAAACAAGTGGCGAAGTGCACGCGCGCGCGTCGTCGCGCATGCCGAAATCCTTCAAAAACCTTCGGCTCCAAAGAATTTCAAAATCTAGTTACAAAGAAACATACAAACACACAGGGTTTTGCAACACGGACATGGGTTTTTAACAAAAGCGTGCGCGCGCGCTTTTGCGTCGTCGTCGTCGTCGCCGTCCTCCCTCCTCCCTCGTCGTCGTCGTCGTCGCCGTCGTCGTCCTCTGTTTCCTCGTCGTCGTCGTCCTCTTTGGCGTCGCCGTCGTTTCCGTCGTCGTTGTCGCCGTGGTCGTCCTTCCTCTTTCCTCGACGTCGTCGTCCGTCGTCGGCGTCTCGTCGTCGTCCCTCCTATTTCGTCGCCGTCGTCGTCGTCGTCGTCGTCGTCTTCCCTCCTCCCTCGTCATTGTCGTCGGCGTCGCCGTCCTCCGTCCTTTTTCGTCGTTCGCGTCGTCGCCGTCCTCCCTCCTCCCTCGTCGTTGTCGTCATTGTCGCTGTCGTCGTCCTCCCTCCTCCATCGTCGTCGTCGTCTTCGTTGGCGACGTCGTCGTCGTGGGTCTTCGTCCTCGTCGGCGTCGTCGTCGTCGTCGGTGTCGTCGTCGTCGTCGTCGTCGAAGTCGTCGAAGTCGTTGGAGACGTCGCCGGTGTCGTCGTAGTCGTTGACGTCGGCGTTGTCGTCGTCGTCGGCGTCATCGTCTTCGTCGTCGTCGTCGGCGTTGTCATCGTCGTCGTCGTCGGCGTCGTCGTCGTCGTCGGTGTCGTCGTCGTCGTCGTCGTCGAAGTCGTCGAAGTCGTTGTGGACGTCGTCGGTGTCGTCGTAGTCGGTGTCGTCGGCGTCGTCGTTGTCGTTGACGCTGTCGTCGTCGGCGTCGGCGTCGTTGCCAAATGCCATTTGGTACCTATCGTCACGGTATTCAGAGGTCTTGCGACCAAGTTGCGGGTGGGAGGGTGGGATGTTTGCACGAGCAGTACAGAGGACAGCTTCAAGACAGTCAAAGTGAATTGTACAATATAGATTGCAATATAGATTATACCACAGGGACCGCACCACGTATACTGCACCACATAGGTTGCACCACATATATGGCCCAGCATAGGTGATAACGCATAGGTTGCACACATAGCTTGCACCACACATGTGTGCACAACACACATTGCAGGCAACAGATGTCGCACCGCGTAGGTTGCACCACATTAATTGCACAATGTAGGTTGACTGCGTGAATGGCGCCACTTAGATTGCACCACGCAACACGCACACATTTTTCAAACGCATGCATTGCGCTATATGCGGTGCACAACATTTACTGCACCACGTAGAGTGCACAGCATATGGTGCACCACACAGTCTGCACCACATAGGTTCCACCCTATCCATTTCACAACCTGGATGCCACCACATAGATTGTTCAACGTTGGTTGCTGGAGCGACATGTTGTGGACCCACGCTAGTCAGCAAATGTGTCTGTCTATACGCACGTGGCGCAACTTGATTTCTGTGCCACTGGTATGCTTCAATCTATGGGGGCAATGGGTCTTGTGTGCGGCGTGTCTTATGTCAAGCATGTGCAGCCAGCGGATGAAATGCGCGTGCGTTCTGCATGTGTGTTCTTATGCCCTGTATGTGGGGCCCGACTGCGTGTTTCTCACGCGTGCACATCCGTGATGTGTTTTCCAATCTTCGTTACACGCGCATGATGATTGTGATCGCCGACTACGCTTGCGTCAAAGGAACTTTCTCATCAGATGTTTTACAGTTCGTCCAGTACGTTCTTGAGTGTGAAATGCGCTTGCTATTCATTTGTGGCATGCATGCCAGATGCTTACGTATGCTCCTCATGTATGTGGTCAATTGTCTGTTGTACTGGAGTGTTCGGTCATGTGTTTAACATGGCGCGGGCGCATGAGCTGCGAATGCGTTTGGCTAGGCACAGCATGTGTGCGTGAAATGTGCGGTTACTGCTTGGGCACTTTCCTCTTCAAGTGTGATGATGTATGCTTTGATTACGCGTGCTATGATATTCCCGCCTGTGGTCCACGCGTGTGCGATGTATACACAGATGGATGTATATATGTATATCTTCATACATACTCAAAAATACGTATGTATAGTTGCGATGCGTGTATTGCACGTGGGACTGAAATTGCGCATGATATATTTCTCGTGTGCGAACGGCCCGCTTCTCAGCTGCACAGTGTTGAGTTATGCTCCGCATGAGCGTCGCTGGCGTGCTTCGTGCTGGCATTGCGCACTAAGTACGCGCGCTCGATACCAATGGTCCTCAATCGCAAGTTCACCTTCTTGGTGTAGGCGTTTCACATGTGTGTTCTTTCTGGTTGTGGCTCGCGTATTTCAACTGGGACTTTCATCGGTTCCGTACGCGAGGCTGGATATCAGGAATTGCCAGGCAGACTTGTGGCCTTGGAGCCCCGTCCAGTTTCAGGTGCCAGAGACTTCCAAGAAGCGCCACACCGCTACAACAACAAAACGTCGATCCTCTGCGTCCTCGTCGCCCAGTGATCAGGGGCAACGTCACGGTGGATAGGCTTTTAGCGGGTGACTTATCGACCCCCAATCGCCCATTGATCGCCGAGAGGACCCGATCGCCCCCATTGCCCAGGGCCGTGCTCCCACACCTACCGGGGGCCTATCGCCGATCTGTCGGCGATGTATCAGCGATTCCAGGTCGATGCTTCCGCCCCTGAGCCAGTGCCCCCTGAAGAGCCCCCCCCGAAGCAGCCTCTCGAGGGATCCCGCCCTGCCTGTCCCCTCGTGGGCAGGCGCGCCAGCTGAGCGCCCTGGAGGTGGCCCGGTCCGTGGACGAGGCCACGAGGGCCAAGGACGCGCCGGCCACAGCCGCCGTCCGAGCTCGGCGCGCCCGCTGCCGAGCCCTGGGCGCTGGTCGCAAAACAACAGTGGGCCGGTGTTGTCTCCGAGGTTGGACCTCAGAGTCTCCACGACTCGGACAATTCCGTGCCGAGGAGGTTTCTCGTAGCCTTCGTCTTGCGGGGGTTCTCGCCAGGCCCCGGGGCCGTCAGTGAACGGCTCCGGATGCAAAGCCGCCCACTGGGGACAGCATCGGATTTTTTGGGGACCCCGCATTGGAAAGACAATACGGTGGGGGCGTTCGTGAAGGAATGTGCCCAGGAGGCTTCAGACCCTGGTGGATTCGTTGGCGGATGAGGGTGGCGCATGTAGTGAGGTGAGCCGTCGGCGGCGTCGCACTTGCTGGTGCATAATCCGTGACACGCCTTCTGTTGAATTTTTGCACGCACGGGTTCGCCCTCGAAGAGAGAAACAATGCCCCCACCGTGCATCGGACCTCGGCGAGTCGGATGGTGCTTCCTAGCCCGTCTCGGGCACCAAGGCGCCACCAAGAAATGGCCCACGATCACGGGCCGACAGGCCCCGCCGCGAGAGAAGCGGCGGCGGCGGCGATCCCGTGCGTTAGCAGCCACATGGAGGCGGGATTGTCGCCAACATCCCAGACATGTTCGCGTCGTTAGAAAATCAGGACGCCAAGCTTTTCTATATTTTCTGCCCCTGGGGGGCCTCGCCGGCCCCCAGGACAGTAAAACAACGACTCAGGATGAAAAGCCGGCCCCAGGGAGAGGGTCTGGACTTCAGGGGACGCCGTACTGAAAAAATCAAGGCGTCACATGTCTGGCATTGCTTGCTAGCGGTGACTGGCGCATCTCACTGCCCAGTCGCCGGGATGGCGCGTTTGACAGCTTGGGTGAGGCGTTGGTGGCAGCGAGGCCGCTTGCGCCCGCCTCTTCGGGCTGGTGGCCAAGTCGAAGGCGCGAGGCAGCGTGCAGGAGGACGTTGCGGGAGTCAGAGGTCTGTGCTGACGTCGACGGTCGGGCTGAAGTGTGTTGCAGCTATCACTCTCAGCATTGCTTCGATCGGTCTGTTCTGCCACTTGCTTGGTATCCCACCTTTCTGGCCGAAGGCTGGCTGCGGCTCGGCCATGCTGGAAGCTCCCTTTGCCCCGGGGGGGGGGAACACGTGGTATTGCCCCTCGGAAGGCTGGAACCTTTGGACATCGTCGCGTCCTGGGCGAGAGAGTTCGCGATTGAGCGAATCCCACCCAAGCTGTCATCGAGCAGGGGCGGCTCGACGCACGAGCGCGGCCAGGGGCAGCCCCGCGAAACGCAGGCCCTCGCGCTCGCACTCGGACCTCCCTTCGGCCCCCATGCTGCCGAAACGCCGAGGCACTGGGCAACGCCAGGATGGCTGGTTGAGGCCGTGACCCATCACATATTGCTCTATTGTGCGGTAGGTTCGTGCGGCGATGGCGCGCCCGCGACGCCGGCGACGGCCTTCAAGGTTGAACGCCTCATGGTGGAACGACGCGGAAGCACTGAGGGGCAAGGGAACGCCAAAGGACCCGACGGAATTCAACCTTGGATGATCGAGGCCGCGATCGTTTCAGTATTGAACGATCGACGCGGTGTCAAAAACATTGCGCGCGTCGACGCCGCACGGACGTACCGTATTCTTTTGCCCCCGCAGCCCGAGCGCCGCCTCGGGTTCGAGCCTTTCGGCGCAGGACCCGCGCGGGCGACCCGACTCGGCTCGCCCAGAGCTGCTCGGGCAAGAAAGCGTGGGGAGGCGGCGGCATGGCGGGCCCAGTCCTCGTGCACTGCTCACATCCTCGGGGGCGGCACACAGGGGGGTGAAGACAAGGGGGGGTTGATACCATGGCGTCTCTTCTTATTTCATTGCGTTCCTGGTGGTAGCGTCTTGCACGCTCGTGTTTGCCCCCCCCCCCCCCCCACCCCCTCCCGCGCGGCCCCCAAACATCTGTCTGTGCACCAAAGGTCACTCTTACCCAGGGTCACTTTTGCGTGTAGCCGCAGCTGCGGGACCTCCGCGCCACGTTCCCCTTCGCGGGCAGCTGTACCACTGCCGCTTCCGGGCGAGGCATGGCGGAGGCGGGGTGTTCCGGTGGCTGGACGTGGCGGGCGAACAGTCCGAGGTCACCGTGCACGACGGCAAGATATGTAGTGGCGAAGGTCACCCGCCTCAGGTCCACAGGCTTCCAGCGCATTGCAAAGTCCAGGGCGGAGGTTTCCCGCAGTCTTCGGTCCTTGGAGGGCCTCGCCGGGCCCCGGGACCATCCACAGAACGGCTGGGGATAAGAGACCAGCCCTGGGCGTGGGATGTTTGCAGCGGGTGCTCGCGTCAAATCTCAGACTGGGTCTCGTCGTTCCACCGTGAGGCCAGCCCGAGTCCCCGAACCCATGTCTTTCGAACCCATGTCTTTCGCGTTCCCACACCAGGAACCAAGGGATGTCCTGAGGTCTCAGGGTTTGGTTTCTTGTGGAAGGCTTCTTGTGGTCGAGCTCCTACGGTACGTTGGTGGTCTTGGATTCAGGCTCGATGCTGCCCCCCCTGAGCTGGCACCCCTTATTGCCCCGTATTGCCCCCCCTCTCGAAGTGTCGGCCCCGCACCACGCGGCGTCGGCGCCGGTCGGGCGCGGGGGGGAAGAGCGACCACGATGATGTGCTCTTCGGCTGAGCGTGGGCGCTGCTGTGTAGCTCGGTCTGTTTCCAAGGGGGCAGCGTGCAGTCAAAACCCCTAGTAGTAAGGACGCGCGGATGTCCAATCAGGGTGCCCTTTGCGTCCTTGCCTCTGCGGCCGGTCCTGCGCGGCCTTTCCTGGCCAGACCTGCAGGGTGGTGGCAGGCCGCCGCCCCAAAGGCGCCAGCTCCGGCGTTCGAGGCCCTTGCGTCCCTACCGCCCGTCCTTGCTACATAGTTCGGCTGTGGTAAGAGGGCTGGAGGAGGAGGAGGAGGAGGAGGAGGAGGAGGAGGAGGAGGTGGAGGAGGAGGGAGAGAGGAGGAGGAGGAGGATGAGGAGGAGGAGGGATGATGATGATGATGATGATGATGATGATGATGATGATGATGATGATGATGATGATGATGATGATGATGATGATGATGATGATGGTGATGATGGTGATGGTGATGGTGATGGTGATGATGATGATGATGAGGAGGAGGAGGAGGAGGAGGAGGAGGAGGAGGAGTACTGTGGTAAGAGGGCTGGAGGCGCAAGCGGGCCCAGACCTTCAACGTGCTGACAAATTGAATACGGAGCTTGTTCGTCGACTTCGGTGCCCGGGGGCCCGTCGCTGGGGGACCCCCGGAGCAGGGGAGACGACAGCGCAGGAGGCAGCACCTGTCCGGGGTTGAAGGGGTCGGGACTTGCGGTGGCCCCGTGCGGAAAAGCACAACCTGCATCGGTGACGGATCTCCGGGGCCCCGCCAGGCTTCCAGCCTCCGCGACAGGGCGAAAGCCCTGCTTTGGGTGCCTGGCCATCTGGCCCATCGCCCATCAGGCGTCTCAGGAAAACTATTCCGAGCTCGGCTGGAGGGCTTGATCTGTCTTGCATGGACTCGGACAGAGCATGTTTCATGGGCGGGCAAGGCTTACATCGGTGAGTTCGCGCAGTGCTCACGTCTTTGGGGCAGTGCCTGTTGCGCCTTGCACTGCCCGACAACATGTGCGGTCTTCTTCGAGCAAGATCCATCCTGCAACAAAGACTTGCAAGTGCGTATCCGTCCACAGTCGGTGTCTGGCTCAAGACAGCTCAGTGCTCCCAGGACCCAGGCAATACCGCGGATCTCCCGCGGCGTGCGGGCCGCCGCGTCACACGCGCGCAGGCCCCATGAGCCGACCTGGCGCCCCAGCGCCGGCGGCCCCGCTGGCCCCCAGGGTCTTCCGCACCACGCAGGTCCACCGGAGGCCCGAGTTCCTCGGAGACCTGGACGGGCACATCAGCGCGCCCGTCCTCGAGGGCCGCGTCATCGGCGCGGGCGGCCCCGTCGATCTCGGCCCCTCGGTGACCTTTCCGAGCGCGGCCCCGCCTAGGCCGCCGGGGATGCCCTCGTGGCTCGGCGCCGCACAGGCCACACTTGCGCCGCCGGCCGCCGCGCCGGCCGCCGCGCCGGTTCTGCCGACGCAATCTGCTCCCGAGGCGCTGTCAGCCTGTGCGCGCGTGCCCCCCGGGTCGCTGGCTGCGCCGGCACCGGAGATCCACCACTTGTACAGGTACGGGCCCAGGCGGATCCAGTACAATGCCTCGGTGCCCGTGGCAGAACCGAACACAGGGGTCTTGGTGAACGCAGTCTTCCCAGCGATGCCTGGGCATTGGGGCCAGGCGGTTCACGTCTACGACGAGGCGATCCGGAACACCAGCTGGCAGTATACAGGCCCCCTCGTCGCCATGGAGACGCCTCCGGACGAGGACAGGGTGGCGTGGCTGCACCAACACACCAGTTACGACAACGCCTACGACAGGAAGGGCGGCAACTTAGTCGAGGTACAAGACGTCGAGGACAGCGGGCGGAGGCAGCAGGAGCTCATGTGGCTCCAGTACCGGCAGGTTCACGACGCCCGCCGCCGTTGGCTCTGCCGCCCGGCCTAGCCGCGCTGCCTCCGCCCGCAGGTGGGGGTGGGGGGTCGCCGGCCTCGAGACGGGGCCGCGGCTGGGCGCGCAGGGGAGAAAACAAAATCATCCAATCAGTGCGTGCACAGACACATTCGAGGCGTTCCAGAACGGGGCTTGCCTTCGAGGGTCGAAGGAGTTGCCATCTCTTGCGCGGCGGAAGGGCGGCGGAAGTAGACCGAGGCCGCCTCCGCCGGCGGAGGCCGGCGAAAGCTCGCGGAGGGGCGGCGGACGGCGGCGGAAGTAACAGATGCGCCCCCAAGAGATGAAAACGTTGTTGGGCTCAGGGTTTCAGGAATCCACCATGCACCATACACAGACACACCTTCATTAGTTCGCCGCCTGGGGCTCACCGCCAGCCCAGCAGGCGAGCACGAGTTGGGCGCAGCCCCCCGCAGAAGTTGGCCGTGGGCCAGGCGCTGGCAAGGCCCCGTCGTGCCCACGCTGCACGCGATCTCAGCAGTGCGCCGCGCCATGGGGCGCGCAACCCATATGCACGGCGCCATTTGGACCAGGGGCAACGTTGCAGTAGAGACCCATGCCAAGAAACACACTGCTCGCCTCCAGCGTGCCCTGGGTTTTTTGGGTTTTCAATGGTTTTTTGCTGTGGAGAGCGCGGAGCTCCCCCACCAAAGGTCAGTGGACGTCCTGGGGTCTCAGGGTTGGGTCTCGTGTGGAAAGTTTCTGGTGGTTCTGGCCTCCACTGTAGGCGGCGATGGGCTCTGGGGGGGATGATGCTGCATCGACCCCCACTCGCCCACTCATCGCCGATGGGGCCGACCGCCCTCTCGGCCCAGGACCGTGCGGACCCGCCATCGGGGGCCGATCGCCGATCCATCGTCGGTGTGCTGCCGATGCCGCGCTGGTCCCCCCGGACGTTGCCTCTCACAGGTGACGATGGGCCACGCCGTCGGATGCGATACCCAAGCATTGCGCCATGGATTTCGTCCGCTACGGGTTCTGCCATGTCTCACGCCATTGACTGCGGTAGGGATCACGCCATCCTCATGTCGTGTGCGCGCCATGTAGCGCCCCATAGGTTGCATCCTCGCGTCGGACATGCATTGACTGCTAACGACTGCGCCCTGGGCTGAGCGTCCGTCGCCCGAACACAGAACTGTCTGCCAACGCGTGCCTCAGTCAGTCAGGTAAGGCAGTCAGGAAGTGAGTCAGGCAGCCAGTGCACCGTACAACGACAAAACATGCGCCCGAGAGTTCGCTCCCCTCGCGCAGTGCTTGCATTTCTGAGGGGCTCTCACTCTGTCCTCTTGAGGAAGTGAATGGTATTTGGGCTTGCGCCCGGTGCCCGCCCGTGGGCGCCTCGTGGGCGCCTCGGGCTGGACGGGAGTTCCGGGCTTTCGCCCGTTGCCCGCACGCGGGCGCCTCGAGGGCGTCTCGTGCTGGGTGGCAGCTCAGGGTGTTGGCCCGGTGCCCGCCCGTGAGCGCCTCGTGGGCGCCCCAAACCGGGTGGTGGTTCGGGATTGTCGCCCGGTGGTCTTGTTTACACAGCACAATTTGCACGACGCAGCTTGCCCACACAGATGGCACCACGTATGTTGCACAACGTAGTTCACATTTCGTTGCTTGCACAAGAAGGCTTGCACCATATAGCTTACACCACCTGGATGGGACTACCTACCTCGGACCAGATGGCTTACACCACATAGCGTGCACCACATAGCTTTCACCACATAGCTTGCACACCATGGATTGCACCGAATACCTTTCACTGTATAGTTTGGACCATGTAAGTCGCACAACCTAGCTTGCATCACACGGATTGCACTTCATGGCTAGCACCACATAGACTGAATCAGAGAGTGTGTGGCAAATGGATTGCGCAAAACAGCTTGTATTACATAGCTTGCACCACAAAGTGTACACCACATGGTTTACTCCACATAGTTGTTACCATGTACCTTTCGGCACCTAGCGTGCACCACGAACCTGGCACCACATAGCATGCACCTCATATCTTACACCACGTAGCTTGCATTTCACCGCTTGCACAATCGCATCTCCATATCGCGTTCACCCATAGCTTTGTCATCTAACTCCACATCACTTTCACCACATAGCTTGCCCATCCATATTGCAATAACTTAGTGTTTGGGTCCACGCTAGTAAACCGTGGATATGGGTGGAAACAGTAAAGCTACACATTGTTGTGACATTTGTCGGCATGATATCGAAATAGGGAATGCTTTACCAGTAGATCAGTCACCTCCTGATGATCTTGGCGCACTCACGCACGTCGTGTATCGTAGCAGGGAGCCTCAATTTGCGGCTCTATTCGGTACGGTCGCACACGCCCACTCCGTCATCACTGCTCCCCTTTGACGCACATCGTGCTCTAGAGAAGGAGAGCCCCACCGTCACGGCACTTTTGCCTCAGTGGCCGCCACTCTTTTCCCGTTTGCCACCGCCGGGCAGCCCGTCGCCGTATGGCAGTGGGATTAGTGAGCGTTGCGAGGACATTGGCACGTGAGCGAGTGCGACTGTGGCAGTTGGCGCCGCAGAAGAGGCTCCCTGCGCGTGGCGAGGTCCTGTGAGGCTGCGGCGACATGAGCATTTGGTCCCGCAGCCGGGCCCCCCCGTCGGACACGAAGTGCGCGCATGCGGGACGCACGTGGCCGTGCTTGTGGGTGTTGCTGCCGAGACCATCCATGGAGTAAGAAGTGCGTGTGCCAAAAAAGAGTGAACATGGGTTGCGGCAGCAGTAGCACCAACCGCAGTGAGGATAGGCAGCAGAGGGAGGAGGCGGGAGGGAGAGCATGAACAGGAGGCATGGGCGCACGGCGTAGTGTCTCACGACCCAACTCCACGGAGGGAGTCGTTTGGAAACGGCGGCATGCACATGTTTCACCCACCCACCCACACTGCGGTTAATACTCTCGGTGCTGTAAAGTACCAGAGCCTGAGAGGATCTGCGTATCTGCGGCAGCGCGTCGGCGACGTCTTCTGCGGAAGGAAGAAGCTTAGAAGGAGGCGGGGTATAAGTTCAAGTTGGCAAATCACGAGGAAAAGAAGGAAGTTGACGAGGGCGAGGACAAGGAGGAGGAGGAGGAGGAGGAGGAGGAGGAGGAGGGCGAGGAGGCACGCTTGGAAAACGAGGAGCAGGGCGAGGAGCGAGACGTCGCCGTCGTTCGACCAGCATCTGATCGAAGCCGGTCTCCAGAGTCCTCCCGTGGTCAATCTTGGCCAGTATCCGCGTCCACATTCGGTAGCAAATCATGGGAGCCTGGTATGCCCTCTAAATTCCGTCGGTAGCGTCGACTAGCGTCGATTAGCGTGTGGGTGTCGATGAGATAGCGATGACATAGCGCCGATGTAGCGTCGATTCGCGCCGATGTATCGTCGATTAGCGTCGAGGTAGCGTCGGTCAGAGTCGATTAGCGTCGATCTAGCGTCGATTAGCGTCGATTCGCAAGAGCCGGCAAGATGGCATGGGAGGCTCCCATGAGTTGCCACCGAAGTCCACCCGTGGCGATGAGAACCCGTGGAAACACCCGAAAACCTCCGAAACGGCGACGTCGTCTGCGCATCGCGGCCGTCGCCGTCGATCGTCGTGGATCGTCTTCGTTGTCTTCGATCGTCGTCGGCGTCGATCGTCGCCGCAATCACCATCGCCGCCGCTGTGTCGTCATCGCCGCTGGTCCCCGTCGTTGGTCGTCGTCAGAGACCGTCGTCGTCTGTGGTTGCCGTGGCCGCCGCCGCCATCGCCGCGTCGCCGTCGTCATCGTCGTCCACTGTCGCCGTCGCTGTCGCCTGGCGGAAGGAGCAGCTGGCCAAGCAGGCCGTCAGCTCGGCGCGCGACGCGGTCCTGGCGCAGCGGGCCGCGCTGCAGGCGCAGATGGCGGAGCAGGCCCCGGCCGCACCCCCCCCCCGATCCGGGGCTCGGGAGGGGGCCGCGCCCCTCCAAGAAGGGCGCCCTCGAGGGCGCGAAGTCGTTCGCGCCCCGCGCTCCGCGCTTCGGCCTCGATTCCTCCTCCTCTTCTCCCCTGGGAGGCGGCCTCGAGGGCGCGAAGTTCTTCGCGCTCCGCGCTCTCGCGCAGCGCGAGGCGCGAAGTTGGGGAGCCCGTGCCGCCGCCCTCCGAGCATGGCGCTTCGGCCGGCCCCGCGGTCGGCCTTCCCCGGCGGGTGCGGTGGCCGAGGCGGCAAGAGCAGTGTGTTGGGAGGAGGGTGCGAGGAGAGGAGGCGTGCTGCCGAGTAGTTTCGGGGGCGGCCACAAGGGGGGTGAGGAGGGGGAGGAGGAGGAGGCGGAGGAGGAGGAGATCGAGGAGGGGGAGGAGGAGGAGGAGATGGAGGGGGAGGAGGAGGAGGAGGAGAACGAGGAGGAGGAGGAGGGAGGCGGAGGAGGAGGAGATCGAGGAGGGGGAGGAGGAGGAGGAGATGGAGGGGGGAGGAGGAGGAGGAGGAGGAGGAGGAGGAGGAGGAGGAGGAGGAGAACGTGGAGGAGGAGGAGGAGGAGGAGGAGGAGGAGGAGGAGGAGGAGAACGAGGAGGAGAACGAGGAGGAGAACGTGGAGGAGGAGGAGGAGGAGGAGGAGGAGGAGGAGGAGGAGGAGGAGGAGGAGGAGGAGGAGGGGGGAGTTGGAGGAGGAACACGACGAGGACCGCGCGGACCTCCACATACGGTCAAGTATCGATGGATAGCGTGTGCGGCTTTCTGGGGCGCGAGTTTCGACAGTAGATTCCACGCTAAGTGAAAGCTGAAGCAGGGCTCGAAGACGGGAGGTGGGGGGCCTCAACTGATTGTACACGCTAAGCGTTCCGAGTAATTTTCCTCCAGCGCAGCGCCGTCGACCCCAATCGCGCGCCACCCTCATGTTAGATACCCCCCTGGGTGGCCTGGATACGTAAAAACATGTCGTTCAACCTCGGGACAACCATGTCAAATATCCCCCCTGGGTATCCTTGACATGTAAAAACACTTGGTTTCAGCTCGGGACCACCATGTTCGATACCCCCCTGGGTAGCCTGCACACTTAAAAACACGTTGTTCAGACCACCCATGGGGGATATCTAACATGCGGTCGTCTGGGGCGCTGGAGGAGGCCCTCGGGAGGAAGGGGGCCCCCGCGTGGTGAGCCAGGCGGGCCGTCGGCCAGCCGGCCCTCCTCCTGCGGCGTGGGCCGGCGACGGCGACGAGGGCGTCCGTGGCCGCGAGGTGCTCTGCGATGCGCGGGTCGGAGGTTTCCGTGGGGCTCGCGGGGATGGTCGCGTGGTCCCGGGGGGCCGTCCGGGTTGTCTTCGCCCCTGCAGCACAGGGCTGGACCTAAACGGTGGTTTGGCGATTTCGTGTGCCGTTCTCGTTCCGACTTCGTTCTGCGGTAGAGGTGGATTGAAGACACAACGAGGGAAAACGAAAACAACACGAAAACGAAAAACACCGTTTAGGTTCAGCCCTGCTGCAGCATGCCCCCCGCAGGCCGTTTCCCCCCCCCCCCCAACACAAGAAAAACGTCGCCATGCTCGGAAGTCGAGGGGTGGGCGTCTCGCCCCCCGGCAAGGCGCTCGGGCGAGGCAGACCGAGGGCGGTGTCGCCGGTGGCACAGGCTCCGCGGAGGAATCGGTGTGCCGCTGTGCTCCCAGCTGTGGCCTCGGGGCCTCTTGCCTGAAGTCGGGCGTGTCTCTCTGCAGTCAAGCAGTGGCGAAGCGTCCTGGCTCGCCTAGAACCCTGCCAAACAATGTTCTAAGAACCTTTTTTGTGGATTCCACGAAAGGTTCTTAGAACATTTCTGGCGGAGTCTGTTTCTGGTGTATCACATCGGGTTTATGGTCTAAGAACATCGTTCTTGTTCTTAGCACATTTTTGGGTTCTAAGAACATTTCGTGGTAGGACTATAGGAATGCCGGGACGGTCGGTCCCTGCTCGGTACAGGAGGAATGCTCAACAATAGTAGGAATCACTCTGGGGACGTTTTTTTGGATTATGTTTAAGCATTTGTTCGCTATTGTTTGACTATGTTTTGTTTTTCGTCCAAGCTCCACCTGTAGGAGGACATGCCCGACCTAACTCTTGCCCTAGAGTGGGCATCCTGGCGATCCCAAAAAAGGTCTCACCGTCGGCGAGTCGACAGGTTAGCCTGCGCGACTGGGCGGAGGCTCTACGAAAGCTGGCGGACGTGAAGATGGATCCCCAGAGAAGCCAGCGCCGGCCAACCCAGGTTTTCCAGAGCTGGCCGCACCAGGTCGAAATGTGGTTGCCAGCTGGTGCACCACCAGCAAAGCATGTCTCGGTGATGCCCTCGAGGATCTTGTGGAGGGCCGAAAGAGATAGAGCTGCCTGCGGAAAGATCAGCCACAGGGTGATGAATTACTGTTTCATTTTGGGGTCATCTTCGAGATCTCTAGGACCGTCTGGAGCTGAAAGTTTTCGAACAAGTGAACCTCATCAGACAAATCAGTGATTTCGGCCTCGTCGGGCCCTGCTCAGGGCCCCCTAGGACCATCCTGCGGGCCTCCTAGGCCGTCTTGCCGTCATCTTGGGCCCCTCTTAGGCCGCCTTCGCCTTGGATGCATCGTCGGCGATCTTGGCGGTCTCGATGGCCTGCCTCAGTCGTCTTGGAAGCGCGGGCCGCCGCATGCCCCATTTTTGTTGTTGGGAGGGGGGATCTCGACCGCGAGAGCGCGGAGCTTTTCACAGTCGGACCGAGGTATGAGGTCGAGGTCGGTTCGAGGAGGGTGCCTCCATGCTCTTCGTGTTTTTGGGGGTGCTCTTGTGCATCCTGGGGCAGGGTGCCCTTGGATGCCCCGCGTGATTTGGCCGGCGGAGGGTCCCACGCTCTTGAAGGCTGTTCTCCTGGCCCAGGTCCCCCTGTGCGAGCCAGGGATCTTGGCCTCGGGGAGGGAGGCGGGCAGGGGGGGGGCGATGCCCGCGGCACTCCGCGAGTGCAGGGTCGCCCCCCGCTGAGTTGTCGGAAGACCGCAGGCAGCCCTGCCGGGCAGGCGGCATTCCTGGCATGCTGCCACGCGCCTCGGCGTGCCCTGGGGGGGCTACGGCGGCGGCGGCTGTTCCCGTCCTCTGCGCTCGTGGCTTCCCTGGGGCATCGGCTCCCCAGGCTGCCCCCCCCTGTCATCCCTCCCCTCTCCGACGACTCGACCCAGAGATCGAACGTAGTGAAACAATCACGACGAAGGTTTTTCGCTATTTTTGGCCTCTAGGGGCCATCGCTGGGCCCGAGGACCGTCAAAGACCGACTCGGGATGAAAAACCGGTCCTGGGGAAGGGGTCGAGACTTCCGGGGACCCCGTACTGAGAAAATCACGACGTCGGATCTCTGGGGACGGCGGCGACCGCGCATGGCAAGCAACCTCTCGCGGCTCGTCCGTCCTCCGGCGGCGGCGAAGCCCGATCCCAGCGCCGACCAGGAGCGGCGGCTGGCGGAGGAGGAGCGCCGGCTGGCTGCGCTGGAGCAGGAGCTGAACTCGGGGGCCGACAGGCCGCCATGCCCGGAGCGTCGTCATCGCCTCCTCTCGTCCGCTTCCAGTGGTGTTCTCCACCTCCTCCTCCTCCTCCACCACCACCACCTCCTCCTCCTCCTCCTCCTCCTCCTCCTCCTCCGTCTCCCCAAGTAGGGTGCATTCGACTGCTTTGTCGGCGGCCAGGGCGACGCCTCGTGACTCCAGGCGTACTCCTTCTCCCCAAGCAGGGTGCAACCGACGAATTAGTCTTCGGCCAGGGCGGCGCCTCGAGACCCCAGGCTCACTCGGGCTACGGGAGGAGGAGGAGGAGGAGGAGGAGGAGGAGGAGGAGGAGGATCGGGCTGGGCGAAAGGGGGGGATAGCAAAGGGGGGGGTTGAGAATCAGCTCACGTAGCTGATTTTCCCGGCGCCTCCCGGCGCCGGAGGCGAGGTTGTTGGAGGTGCAGGATCGGGTGGGATGCCGGCGTTCTGAAACGCTGCGCTCCTCTACTCCATGTGAGCATTGGATCAGATTGCAAGGGGGGCGTGGTCAGACAGGTGTGGGAGTCAATCCCAGGACGGGCCCCTCTCGCCAAAACAAGGGGACCAAGACGGCAAGAGCCAGCTGATAAGCGGACCAGCGCTGCTCAGTGGAGATAATTCAGATTACGGTGCTGAGGAACCCCACATACCTATGTGAGGCACTGCGTGGGAATTCCACTCCCCATCCCCGCGTCCACGGTCCCTCGCGAACTGGGAACGCACCCGCGTCCCGAGCTCCCAAGAGGGCCCTGGCAGGCAGCCACAGTGACAGTAACCAATATGGACCAAGATGGTTCGAGGCCAGCCCAGGATGGCTCGGCCCAATATGGCCTCAACGCAGCCTAAGATGCCTCCACGAGCGCCCACTAGGACCACCATGAGACCCCCAACACGGCCCGGAGGGACTGAAACCATCGATCCCCCCAAGAAATGTTTGAATGACCTTCGCAGCTTATGACGGTCCAAGAAGCCTTCGAGATGGCTTCAAGAAGGCCCGAAAGCCCCAACTAAACCCCAAGATGGTCCGAACGGGAAGAATTTCGCAATCGGAACACGGGCTTGTCAGCAGAACGCGAGGCCCGTCAGCGGAACAGGGTGGGTGGCCCGTCAGGGTAACAGGGGCCGCGCACGTCAGGCGAACGCTTGGCGACCGTTGGCCGAACTCGTTGGCCTCAGCTCTGGTGATTACCACAGTGCCTCGTCGTCTTCTGGGGGAGGGGGGGAGGGGCGATATGGAACATTATAAGCCTGGGGTTCTAGGAGGAGGAGGAGGCCTGGAGTGAGGTTCTGTTTTTCTTATATTTCTCACTCCCTCTCTCTCCTCCCTCCTCCCTTCTCCGTCCCCTCCTCGGCCCAGGGGCTCCCGAGTGGGTCCTCAACTCTGTCGCAATTGGGGGCCCCTGGGCTTCGGGGTCAAGGTCTATGATTGAGCCACTCTCCTCCCTCCTCTGTATCTTCCCTCCTCTTCGTTATCCTCCCTCCTCCCCTCACTCTCTCCCTCTCTCTCGCTCTGTCTTTCTCTCTCCATGTTTGGGGTTCTCTCTAGGGGGGAGGAGTAGGAGGAGGAGGAGGAGGAGGAGGAGGAGGAGGAGGAGGAGGAGGAGGAGGAAAAGGACAAGCTAGGTGCGCTCGCGTCATATCTGACGTCCTACCCCTCCCTCCCATCCCTTACAATGGCGCTGATTTTCTCTATCCGCGGACGCGTGTCGTAGCGGACCTGTGGCTCCGCGCGCGCGTGCGTAGTGGGTGGTGGTGCACGTGCGTGCGTGCGTGCGTGCGTGTGTGCGTGGTTGTGGTGCTGGTGCTGGTGCTGGTGCTGGTGCTGGTGCTCGTGCTCGTGCTCGTGCTCGTGCTGGTGGTGGTGGTGCTGGTGGTGGTTGTGATGGTGGTGGTGGTGGTGGTGGTGGTGGTGGTGGTGGTGGTGGTGGTGGTGTGGCGCGGTGGTGGCGGGCGGATGGGCGCGCGAGAAAGAGGCCCGCGCTGGGGCGAGAACGCCATCCTGAGCGACGGAGGCCAAACACCGTCTTGGAAGCCATCTTGGACCTTCTTGGGCGATTTGTGAGGCCATCTTGGGCCATCTTGGCCGTCGTGGAAGCGATTGGGCAAATTGTTCGCAGATTATGCGGCCTTCTGGGTGACCGGCGCGCTGTGCCGGAGCCCCAGGGCAGGTCTAAAAGATCCCGAAAACACGAATTAGACGTCTAGCATGCCGTGCGCCCCTGCCGCAAAACCACAAGGGGGCGGCGGATCGAAGACACCTGCGGCGAATCACCGCCGCCCCTTACCTTTTGGAAGACCCATGTGGCCGAAAGTTGCGTCCAGAGCTCGGCTAAGCTATCGGACCAACCCCTTCGGAAACCCTTCCTGGAACACGTGGTGGAGAAAGAAGAAGAGGAGGAGATGGAGGAAAGAGAAGGAGGAGGAGGAGGAGGAGGATAATGTTGGCCGTCTGAAAGCGTTCCTGGCCCCTCTGACGCCGTCGGTAGCCATCTTGGGGCCGACTTGAGACCCTCTTGGAGCGCTTCAGGGCCGTCTTGGAGGCCATCTTGGGCGTCTTGGAGGTCTCCTGGGCCGTCTTGAGGCCCTCGTGGGGCTGTCTTGTGGGCCGCTTTGGCTGTCAAGGGACCATCTCGGAGGCCTCTGGGGCGCTCTGGGGGCCATCTTGGTGGCTTCTGTGGTCGTCTTGGGCCGTCGGAACGCTTGAAAAATGCGAATGCCGCAATTCTTCAAAAACCTTCGGAACATAAGTGATTTGGGTTTCTTCGTGCCTACCTTGAGGACCTCTTGGAGGCCTCTTGGGCCGTCTTGGAGGCATTTGGGGGACCTCTTGGGGCGCCTTGGGCAATCTTGAAGCAAGCTTGGGCCGTCTTGGTGGCTTTGCGCGCGGCCTTGGAGGCAGCCTGGACCCTCTTGGGCCGCTGTGGAGACCGTCTTGGAAGGTATTGAGGCGAAGTTGGAGGCCACCTTGGGCAATCTTGGCCGTCCATGTTGGACCATCTCGGGCGAGGAAGGCATTGATATGTACATGCTTCGTGCCGAAGCCCGGGGTGGAGTCTTGAGAGGACCAAAGCCGCACCCCTGTGGCAAGCCAAGGCAGGGCGGCGAAACGAAGACGCCTACGGCGAATCACCGCCGCCCCCTTCCTATTGGAGTTGCCCATGTGGCCGAAAGTTGTGGCCAGAGCTCTGCCAAGCTATCGGACCATGTGTTCCCCCAGGCGTTGTGGAAACCATCCGGGGAACGCACGAGGGAGAAAGACGACGCGGAGGAGATGGAGGAAAATAGAGGAGTAGGAGTAGGAGTAGGAGTAGGAGTAGGAGGAGGAGGAGGAGGAGGAGGAGGAGAAAAAAAAAAGAAGAGGCGGAGAAGACTACAGAGGGGGAGGAGGAGAAGGAGGGGGAGGACACTTGGGGCCTCCTGCAAGCTTCTTGGTGGCCTTTTAGAGGCCTTTTGGAAGCCTCCTTGGCCTGATGGGGGCCTTCGGGAGCTTCTTGATGGCTTGTTGGGCCGTCTTAGGGCGTTCCTGTCCTTTCCGACTATATCAGAAGCCGTCTTGGATACCTTTGTGAGCCGACTTGGGGCCCTCTTTGGGCCCTTGAGGGCCGTCTTGGAGGCCAGCTTGGGCGTCTTGGGGGCCTCATGGGCCGTCTTGAGGCCCTCTTGGGGACGATCTTGGAGGTATCCTGGGCCGACTTGGGCCGTCTTGGGCCGTCGGAAGGCCGAAGAGAAGCAAATGCCAAAATTCTTTCGGGCCTTTTCGGGGCCTCCTGGCCGACCTCTTGGAGGCCCCTTGGGCCGACCTGCAGGCGGGGCCTCTGGGGCCGCCGTGGGCCGTCTTTGAGACCTTGTGGGCGATCTTGGAGGCGCCGTCTTGGAGGCCATCTTGGACCATCTTGGGCGAACTTGGAGGCCATCTTGGAGGCCATCTTGGAGGCCATCTTGGAGGCCTCCAAGATGCCATCTTGGCCATCTTGGAGGCCTCCAAGATGGCCTCCAAGATGGCCTCCAAGACGGCCAAGATTGGCCTCCAAGATGCCATCCTGGCCGTCTTGGAGGCCATCTTGGAGCCGTCTGGAGCAGCAGCAGCATTGGCCACTGGGTCCGGAGCAGCCTTTCCAGGTGGCCAGTGCGCTGGGCCGAAGCCCCAGCGGGTGGCGTAAAAAGAACCAGTAACCATCAGACGTTTGGCGCGGCAGGCACCCCTGGGATAGGTCAGCAGGGGGCGGCGGATCGACTGGCCATCGGCCCATCCCGCCCCTGTGCCAGGGCTGCAGGTCGGAGCCCCGTCGGGGCCCTCTTGGCCCGCTCTGGGGCGCGCGTGGATCCGAAGGAGTCCTTCGGGAAGCCCTGGGGTGCCGCGGGAGGCACGCCAGGAACCCCCGGACAGTCTGAGGATTCAGGGTCGGGGCCCCCTTCGTCTTCCATCCTTCGGACTGCGGGCTGACTAACAAGGGACCTGAGGGCACTCCAACTCTCGGGCCGGATGAGACAGGGCAGGGTACTCCGAGTTTCTCCATGCGCGTCGGGGGGGCGTCACCCCCGCCGACAGCCCCACATCGACCACCGTCGCGGGCGGCCACCGCGCGCCGAAGGCGCTCCGACCCCCGTCGCGGCGCGACGACGAGGCGAGGTCGACTCCCGTCCAGGGGCCCCCCCCCACGCTCACAAAGAAACCCAGAGCAGGATAGGGAAAGGGGTGGTTACCACATCTGCTGCATGCAGCTGGCTTCGTCCCCGGCGCCGGGCCCATCCCTCGACACGTGAGCGCCTCCCGGCGCCAGGAGGCGCCAGGGCAAAGCCAGCTGCGCGAGCTGCCCCTCGACCGTGCCTTTTGCCATCCTGCCCTTCGCCCCCACCGAAATTCGTGCCTCGCGGCACGGTGGCGCACTCGGACCCCGCGTGGGAGGCCTCCTCCTCCTCCTTCTTCTTCTTCTCTTCCTCCTCCTCTTCCTCCTTCTCCTCCTCCTCCTCCTGCTCCTCCTCCTCCTCCTCCTCCTCCTCCTCCTCCTCCTCCTCCTCCTCCTCCTCCTCCCCCTCCTCGCTCCTCCTCCTCGCTCCTGCCCCCCTCGCTGCGGCCCCGCCTCGGGGCCCGAGGCACGAGCGCCACCACATCGAGGCGCTGCGGGCCAAGATCGAGGCCGCGGGCCGCGAGGACCGGGGCGGGGCAGGCACGCGTCGGCGCGGACGTGCCGGCGCCAGCGTCGGCGGCCGCTCGGAGCTTTTGAGACGGGGGGCAATGCAAAGGGGGGTCAGCCAGGGCACCCGATCTTGCAGGATCCTGCGAAGACCCCCTCTGGCTGACCCGGGTTAGCGAGCCGCTTGTGGCCGCGGGGCGGCCGCGCCTAATGGCTGACCCGGGTTTACGAAGCCCTGCGTTGCAGTTTAAGTTTTTTGCATTGCAGTTCTTGGTTTCCTGCTGACCTGGGTCTGATTGACCCGGGTTAGCAGATCCCCGAGGTTTGGGGGCCTTGCCGCTGTCGCCGCTCACGAGCGGCGAACATGCCTATACCTTCGGAGGCAAACTTCATGGGAGCCAGCTGCGCCTTTGAATTCCGCCTTTGGCGCCGATTCTTGTGGATTAGCGTCTGGGGTCGATGAGATGGCGCCGACTTAGCGTCGGCTAGCGTCGACTAGCGTCGATAAGCCTCGATTTAGCGTCGATTTAGCATCCATGCGCGTCGATCCGCCAGAGCCGACAAGAGGGTATGGGAAGCTCCCATGAGTTGCCGCCGGACATACCCACGCCTTGCCTTCTGGATTCTGGGTAAGCAGCGCGATCCCGTGGACGACAACGCGGTCGCATGGACACGTTCCGCGCGGGGCACCCGCGAGAAAGCGCCCCACATCCACGAGGTCGCCGCCGGCGTCGGCGTCGTCGTCGCTGTCGGCGCCCGCGCGGCCTCGGGCGTCGGCGTCGCCCGTGCCTCGGGGGCCTCGTGGGCGCCGCTTGGGACTTCTTGGCCTTCGGAGGCCGTCTGCGGGTCCTGTCTGGGCAGTCCGGGGTCCTTTCTGTTGGCGCTGCAGGGCCGTCTTGGAGGCGTGTGGGGCCGTCCTGGGGGCCTCTCGCGCCAAGGCCCTCCTGTGCCGTCTTGGGAGCCACTTTGGGGGCGTCTTGGGTCGTCTTGAGGCGGTCTTGGGCGCCCATGGGGCCGCCTTGGAGCGCCGGAAGCCCGACAAGGCGAGAGCGCTACAATCGCGGTCCCATTGATTGGCAAAGTGCGCCACGCTTGACGCTTACATCGGTGAGCGTGTGCGGGAGCCAACGTGTGCTCGCCTACCAAAGCCGCCTCCCGACGGTCGTCGCACATGCGAGCGCACGGCCGCACGGCCCGCCGCCTGCTTCCGGCAGTCTGCGCCGTGCGGCGACGGGACAGGGAGAAGGGGACCGAGAAGCAGGCAGGCGACGGCGAAGGCGCCGTCGGGAGGCCCGGGGCCAGCAGGACGAAGCAGGAGAGCGGGCAGGCGGGCAGCGGCGGAGGGGAGGCAGCATGCAGGGAGCAGGGGAGAGGGCGAGGGAGACGGGAGACCGTGCCCCCAAAAAGAGTCCCCAGACTATGTTTGGATTATGTTTTAAATCCCCCTGTAGGAGGAGGGAGGGAGAGGAGCAACCGCAAGCCGACGGGCGGGAAGAGAGGCCGGCAGAGGCGGGCCGCCCGCCACGAGGCTGCGGACGCCACGGCGGTGACGCCGACAGGGCGGCGCAGACGGAGGGGGTGCTGGAGTGGGTGTCGGCTGTCGGGATCGTTGTGGGAGGTCGTCTTGCGGGGTCGTCGTGGGGAGGTCATCGATCGGGTCGGCGCTCGTGGGTATATCAACAAAGCACCTGGATGGCAGCGAGTACGAAGCGGTAGGAGGTCGAGGCGCTGCCATGTGCACCTTGGCGTGTTGCTCTACCAGGGATCGTTGCCGTCCGGGCCAAAACTGTTGCCAGCGCTGGGGCGAGAACGCGATGCTCGAATGAAGCGCGGGGTCTCAGCCGAAGCGGCTTCCGGACCAGGCGATCTCGACCGGAAGGTCTCAGGTTCCCGGCCCCCCCCGCGGGGCTCTTTTGTTTTTCTCCAAGAAGTGTTGAAAAAGACGAGGGGGAAACCGTCGCGCGCATGAGCTTCTCCCTGGGTAGGCTTGCCTATCGCGGCTCCTGCTTGGCTGAGACACGGGCGCGCCGCCCGTTGCTCGGAGGTTCCTCAGGTTCCTCCGATTCCTCGGGTTCTTTGGTTCCTGGGCCCCCCGGGTTTTTAGAGTTCCCATGCCAAACCATACCAAACAATGACAGGCGATGCGCCGAGCGATGCGCCCAGGCAGTTGGGGTCTCGCCGGGTTCCTTTCGTGCGTCTCGAGGGCATGCGCTGCGGGAGCGTGCGCGACACGAGGTCAGCGTCTTTTAGACTGAGTCCGCATCCGTGAACACGGTTGGGCGTGCACGTCTTCTGTGGGCCCCCAGTTCTCGAGATCTTTCATGCGACGAACAAAAATCAACCACGTGGCGCTCCGCACGGATTTATTGGATCCGCGGTGGGCCGGCCCTTGGCGCGCTCCGCGCGCCAGGGAGGGGGGCCCACCGCGGATCCAAAAAATCCGCGTGGAGCGCCACACGTTCATGTTTATGTTGTTTTTCTGTTTGGTATTCACTCGCTCACACTGGGCAGACTCAGTGTCGAGGTCCTGCCCGGAAGTTTAGGCCGCCATTTTGTTTAGGAAACGGTTTCGCGTTCGCATGCGCCACACTTTTGCCCCTCATGCGGCAGGAGCGGCTGGCCAGGATGGGCGCTGGAAGGTGGTTTTCTGGGCCGACATCGAACGATTTTTTGTCGTCGTAACAGGTTTGTTTTCTGATCCTCCTGTTCCATGGGTTCCTCCTTTTTCTCCTCTCCTCATCCTCCTCCTCCTCCTGCTCCTCATCTTCCTCTGTGTATTCCTCATCATCATCGTCATCATCATCGTCATCATCCTCATCATCTTTTTCATCATCATCATCATCATCATCACCATCATTATCATCATCGTCATCATCATCATCATCATCACGCCTTGTCGTCGTGGTGAACCGTTGTGGCGGCGCGTATTGCGTGGCTTCGCGGTGCTGGCAGGTGACAACCCGACCCACTGGCATAAGGGGGTCGCGCCGGCATCAATAGTTGATAAAACAGGGGGTTGGCTCCCCTGTCAGGCCTTTCGGAGCAGCGTCGCCGCCCTTGGCGAGCCCGAGGAAACTTTTTGGTGGCAGCTATCTGATGTGTCGCCCGTCATTGCCACATGGGGATCACGGCCATCGCATTCCCAGTCTCGCGGTCGCTTGCCCCCTCGTCCGATCTACAGTGAGTTGTTTTTTTTTCCCACCCTCATCAAAGAATACGAGGAGATCGCGCGAGTGAACACGTCGAGGTGGGACCCTCGCAGGTCGCTCAATCAAGATACCCTTTGCCGACAGGCTGCTGCTGTTTCTGCTGCTGGTGCTGCTGTTTCTGCTGCGCGACACCTGTCCCTGCAGCACTATCCCGCATCGATGGCGTCTCGGGCCATGTTGTTTCGCTCGACCTGCCGTGCGGTATGGCGTCACGACGTTCGTCTTGCCAACTGTACTATTGCTCGTCACGTTCCGTCTTCGCGGTAAATGACAGTTGAACTATCCACTGTCTCCTTCATCGACTCTGGGTTTCATGATTGACATGGGCACCTTCAAAAACAGGAAGCTGCTGCCCGTCGCAAAGATATTGAGGCTGCCCTTGAGGTGCCCCCCACGCAGGTGCAGAAATTTCAGCTCATCGGGCAAAAACGTGCGGCCTCTCAACAAGCGTGAGCACCTGTCTGCCATCGTCGGCTCCGAGATCGTGACCCCGTCAGTCGCTTCGGAGGCCAAGCAAGTTGAGTCCTCATCTGAGTATTGGGTTCCACTGGCCGGTTCGGACACCCCCTTCAGCGTGGCGCTCATCAATTTGTTCCCCTTCCCGCACCTCTGAGCAACCTCCAGGACATCGAGCCCCCGCTGACTGTTCATTTTCGGAGGTCTCCTGATCGTGCGTCTTGGCTAGCGCCCGGCCCTGATGGGTTTCACTGCGCGGCTTGGAATCCCGGGGAAGGTATCTGTCAGTTGAGCGGAAGATCGGGGCAAATCGGAACCAGAGATTCTGGGAGAGTTCCAAAGAAAAATAGAACGCCGAATTGTGGAGCGCAGCGCGCGCATTCGCAGAAGTTCCCCAAGGACTTTTCGAGGGCTTGAGGAGCCCAAGTAACGCATGGGCGCTCAATTAAACTGTTGAGGGCGGGCAGAAAAACTGGTGTGCACGAGCATTGGGAGCGGGTGCGCGGCTTGCACGGGGGGCGCAGTAGGTTTGCGTTTCAGGAGCTTGGGCGCTGGCCGATGCGTTGATGGGGGGCCCGAGAGTGCGTCACACATATTACGCCTGTGGCGCCATGGAGGCCGCGTGTGCGGTTGCAGTGGGGCGGGCGCCCCGCCGCGCGCACCGTCGCGACAGCTCTCTTGGGCGCCCGCCCGCCGCCGTGGACGCAGCGGGCCCAGCCAGTCTCGCGGTCGGCGCGCGGCGGGTCGGCAGCCAAGACGCTGGCGGCCTGAAAGTGCTTCGAAAGTGTTTCTCCCCGAGCCCGGGGCTATTGTACGTTTTCGGTGGCACGCGCAGCTCGGAAAAGAATCGCCTTGTCCGTCGGCGGCCAGTTGGCTGTCGTCGCGCAGAAGTACCGGCGGATGGCGCGGTCCACGCTCAGCGCAGAGAGCGCGTCCATGAGCGTGGACTCGTCGAGGGGCAGGAGGAAGGACCTCGTGGTCGGGACCATCGCGGCCTGCGATGTCCACGGCCCCCACCCTCGGCGCGTAAGGACCTGCTGGGCGCCGCCGCAGGCCGATTTCAGAGAATCTCGGAACGGGAAATCGGGGCGCGCCAAATTTCGCGGGCCGAAAAACTCTCAGAGAGTTTCGGCCAGCTCCGAGGTTTTGGGTTTATGGGAATGTTTCACGCGGGGTGTCTAGTTCAGAGATTTCCAGAGATTCTCAGAGAAGTTCGGGCGCGAGAATTTGGCGCGCCCCGTTTTCTGGTTCTGCGAATCTCTGAAAAGCGGTTCCTCCGGTTTTACCGGATCTCCAGGCGCCCCACTGTCAGCCAGAGACGAGCGACTGGCTTGCGCTGCGCCCGATGCTTCCGGAGTCGCGAACTCGGTCCTCGATTCCTTGGGGCCCGCGGGCCCCTGGGCCAATCGCGAGGTTGCCGAAGCCCCCCGGCGGTTGCGCGCGATTGTCTCCGAAGCCGGAGTTGGGCATCCACGGTGGACGCCCGCGCGTACGCGCTAGGTGTCCGCGATATTATTCGGTGGCGGATATTGCATGGTGCGGGGGCCTTCCAAAAACTTTCCGAGGTTTTCTCTATGGTTATTTCGGCGCGCTTCGGGATCCTTGGGGCGGCGCGGGGAAGTCGCCAGGCCGCGCGCGGGCTCTTTTTCCAATGCCTTCTTGGGCATTCTCGCGGTGTTGCGTCGCCGAAAAGGTCACTGAGTACTGCGCTTTTTGACATTTACACGTGTTTTTCGTTGCGTTGGTTGCGTGATTGTTTTGGCGGTCCGCCTCTTTGGGGCCCCCTTGGGGCCTCAAGTTTGTTTTGTTGACGTCGGGTCTTCTGGAGTGAGAGGCGCTTGGCGCTGAATTCCCTCGGGCGCGCGCGTGGCCAAATACGCGCCGTGGCCTCATCCGCGCCGGGGCGCATTCCTTCCCTCGCGGAGCCGATGGTGCCCAAGGCGTGGCAGGCCCGTTCGGCGGCGCCCCCGGTGATTCGAAAAACCGAGCATGATTTTTATCCCGGTCAAACTTTGCCCCGATCCCGGCTTCGTGTTAATCTGTGTCCTCGCGCACGTCCTTGAACATCTCTGTCTTGGGAGGGCTGTGCCGTCGTCTTTGTCGTCACGGCGGGCGGTCTTCCTCGGGAAACCCATCAGAGATGGCGTCCCCGAGCCCGACGCAGGTGGAATCCTGAGAAACCCCTGAGCCTAGGCCTCCCAGGTGGAGTCCGAGTAGATGGGGTCGGAGGATCGCGCCGTATCGCCGATGTGGGGCCCGATTTGCTTCACGTCGACGTCGCCGATGCATCGCCGACGTCGCCGGTGCATCGCCGATGCATCGCCAATGCATCGCCGATGCTTCGTCGATGTATCGGCGATGCGGCGCGTTCTTTAAACCCCATCTATCCGGACCCATCTGGGAGGCCTCCACTGAGGATGCTAGACCCCTTGGCCTGAAGAGTGCGGCCAACAAGGCCATCTGCCCTGTGCTCAACAGGTGTTTCCGAAGATGGGTGCAACAGGTTGCGGCGAGGTCTCAGAATTGTTCCACTCGTGATCGACATTTCCTTGACAATGTCGTCGCCGTCGACATGTTCGTGAGGTCGGTGGTCGGAGGGTGCGTGTCCTTGTCTGAACCTCTGGGGATTCCAACGTTGCTGGCCTTCGACTTCGCTCAGGTTTTTCCATACGTGCGGCGGGCATGGTTATCTTGCCGTCTCTGTCGCCCTCGCGCCCCTGAAGCGTTTTGTTCGTGCTGTGACTATGCTATGTCGGCGCAGCCCGTGTTCATCTGGTAGTCAGACCTTGTCACCTATGTGTTTCATTGATAGTGGTGTGCTCCGGGTGTGCCCCCTCAGCGGGAGCATGTTCGCTGTCGCTGTGAACCCGTTCCTTCTGGTCCTCGAAGGTTCCCTGGTGGTCCCGTCTCCTTCGGTAAACGTGAGGGACTCTGGGGGCGTGCGCCGACGACATTGGTGCAGTGGTCTGGCGTCGTCGCGCGTTCCGCCGTTTGGCTCGGGTCTTCGGGTGGGCACACAAGTTGGACAACTTGCATCTCAAACCAAAGAAGTGCAAAACGATTCCATTATGGTCCCCGCTGTCCAAAAACGTGGTGCTCGAGCTGCGCACCGAGCTTCAGGCAGTTGATATTTCGTGGCGAACATTCGATGTCGTTGACAAAAAATCGCATCAATGTGGGTTGTGGGATCAGTCATGTGGCGTCGCGGATGCATTACTGGACATGGAGGGTTCCAGAGCTTAAGCAGCATAATTGGTCTATCGCTATCAGTCGCCGGTCGCCTCCATGCTGAACGCGCCCTGACCACCCTGTCTTTTGTCATGCAGCTCACACCGGTACCGTGGCCCATGGGGCTAAGGCAGAGGCACCTTGTCGCGCGCCTGTTGCGCAAACCTAGCATTATGATTGCCACAGCGGACGTGGTTTGGTTATGGAAGTTTTGTCACCTCACTTTCGTTTTGTGTACGTCCAAAGTGCGGCTGCTCTAATGCGTGCAGCATTGGTCACGATTCAGGTTTGGCAGCAACATCTATCGCGACACCGTCGTCTTCTCCGTGACTCTGGCACAGTTGACACCTTGGGTACGTTTTTGATTGCATTTGCGTTTTGGCGCGATGTTCCTTTCGTCCTTCGTCTGGAACGCGCTCCTCACGGATACCCTGGGCACCAGAGGGTGCACGACAGTGGGCGGTTGTTTCCAGATGTCTTCAACAACCATGTATGTTGTAGCGAGTTGTATTATCTGCTTTCTGTGATCATTATATGTGTTGTCCGGCGTATTGTGGCATACAGTTATGTGGAACATAGGGACGCATGAGAGAATGCATCGCTCGGGCGACAATGGTGCTCTTCTTCCATCTCTTCTGAATCCGAACCGCAAGCGCCAGTTGCAACCTGTGTTCTCTTCTTTCTTGTTCCAAATGTGTTTCCTGATCGACTTGTCTTGCGTGTGGGGCGCCGGCGGAGAAAACATCTTGAGATTGGCATCGCGCGGGTCCTCTTCAGTCATGTCCAAAACCAGCTCGAGCTGTTACGTACTCTAAGAGCTGGTGTTTCGCGATCGTTCGCACGGGGTGTGGTGGTCGGGTCACACAGCGTCGTATGCAAGGAGGTTGAGCTTGCGCGCATGGCTGCCAGGGACAGGTCGACTCCGTCCGCCACTGCGTCCTCAATTGCAGCAAGTGCCACCGCCACTTCGCAGCATGGATATTCAACTGAGACGTCCTGGGACATCGAGCTTAGAGACTTGGTCTGGAAGGTGGCGTCTTCCCGCAGGTGGCTGCATGTGTCATCATGTTCGCCTCTGGTACCACACGCAAGGCAATGACGTTTCTTATCGCTCCCCATTTAGCCTCATCGCTCCAGCGAGGCTGGCATTGAAACTTCCTTTTCGCGGAGCTCAAGGCCGTCAACTTCTGTGGCGGGAACTTGCCCGTACTGTGCGAGAGTCGAGGAGGCATTCGAATCCGACGACGTGCACCTCGCCAGCATCAGCCTCGCCTGCAACAGCTTCCTCGTCCCTTCGGAGCTCGTCAGTAGGCAGTAGGCAGCAGCCCCCCACCGCCGCGAGGCCCGTTGCTGATCCCCGCCGCCGCCCCTTTCGATTTTTGCAGAGTAGCAGGAGTAGGCAGCCGTAGTCTGTTAACCGTATTCTTCTGGCCTCCTCTTCCTCGTCCTCCTCCGCATCATCAGCATCATTGCCACCATCATGGCCACCATCATCAGCATCATCACCATCATCATCATCATCTTACTTCGCCCCTCCTCTCCTCGTTCCGCTACATCAAGGAGGGAAGGCGTTCCCCCTGCAGACCCCGGGAAATAGCAAATCGCGTTCAGGGGCTTCAGGTATGCATGCCTTGAGCCAGTTGGGTGGAGGTCTGGTAGTTGGGACAGCGCGGCGCTGGAAGTGCGTCAATGGCATTTGAGCTTCTTAGAGCAGTTACGAATAGGAGCCTGGAAGGATGGACTCACCGACAACGGGGCATCTGTATGATTCAGACTTGCGAAGTGGGAAGTGGGTTCATCGGCCCCTGGATCCCCACGTTTCGCGGCTCGATATGGCATGTGCTTGTAAATGTCACCCTCCAGTGGCCGTTTCCGGGACCCGGGACTGTCAACAGACGATCAACGATCCAGGATGAACGAAAATGGTGTTTGACGAGGCCGAGGTGTCTGAGACTCCGTATGGTAAAACCAGTTGGGCCGTTGGAAGGGTGATGGAAGGAAGCGGTTGTGAGAACACGCCCTTGTCCTGCCACGTCCCATTGGGTTCGATTCCAAACAAAAATCCGATTCGGGCGCTGCTTTTGCCCCTGACCTCCATCCACCTGGTGGCGCACGTGACGCTGAATCGGGAGTAGCGCTGCCAGCTTGATGACAGCAGATACGATTATGATTACAGGCGACGTTTTGCCCCCCACGCCCGAGTTCCGCTAGAAAGGGTAAGCCGCCCAGAAAAAAGGGAATACCCCCCCGAGGGGGCCTCAATGCTTTGTCTCCCTACTTGGGCCTCAATGTTTTGGGCCGCTCGGGAACCTTACGAAGTCGGGGATTCGGGTCGCCATATTCAGCGTTATTTGACACAGCTGACAAGAGGTGGAGTTCTTGCCGCAGCGAGGACCGAAGTCTTTTGTCACCAGAAGGGTGCTGCCGATTTCGCACCAGCTTTGCCCGTTTGCACTGTTTCGGTCAGGCTGTCTCGTTGGTGCCTCGTTGTCGCTTCGCGTTTGTTAATGCATGTTTCTGGGGGGGGCATCAGCCAGCAGCATGGAGGAACAGCATCCGGAATGATTCATGGGGTAAGGGTGCACAGGAGCAGAAGTGTTTGTGTATTGGTTCCATAAGAAGGGGGGGGCGGGCAAGGAGACTGCACATATGTCCTCAAAGTGTGAACGCGGTGATCTGAGGATTAAGGTGTTTAAGCCGGCAGACTGGTGGACTATTGGGAGGAATTGCGACGGTGTGTGTGCGTGTGACGACCTGGCAATGTTGATGGTGGGATGGGTTGCGGGATCATCCCATGTTGCTTCCACGAACTTTATGGTCGAATGGTGTTCAACCCACAATAGCTGGCGTAACAAAATCAACGAACTCCGATCGCGCCGAGATTTGATGCGTAAACCGCCTGCGTAATGTCGCGAATGAACGCGCCTGTTTTCAAGTAGAGTGCCGCGTTGGCGGCCTGCGTTAGCCACCGCGTGAGATCGTTGCGTTGTCGTACGTAAGATCCCCTGTCCTTCGTCGCCCCGATGTCATTGCAAGGGCCTGTCAGCGATCCACCACCGCCCGCCCCGGCCGAGGAGAAAGAACTAGAGCGGGAGACCGACAGGAAACGCGAGGCCCGCACCGACCATCCTCTCTTTTTTCCGGAGGCGGCAAAAAAGGGGGCGATGACTCGGGGGCGTGGATCTCATGGCGTGGGTCATGAGATTTCCCCAGATGTCATGGCGCCTCTTCTTGTTTTTCATCACGCCCCTGCCCCCCCCGCTGGGCCGCGCACGTGCCGCCGGCCATGATTTGCGCCCCCCCCCTCTCGGACGCCCCCCTCTCCGGCGGACTCTTTTGATCCCCCCCAAGACTTGGCATCGCTCGGACGTGTGCATTTTTCCTTCGGCGAGGACCATCGAGGAGCATCCTCGATCATTTGGCGAAAAAACCACGCACGAAACCGAAGAAAGCAGAGGGAATGGACGTCCGAGCGATGGCCAGTGGCCGCCCCCGACTCTTCCACGTCGGGGGGGTGCGTGAGCGCTCGCTTCGGGCGACTGAGCGGCGGGCTCGCTCGCATCCCCGTGGCGTGCCGTCCTGTGCCAACAAGCGCGCCTCGGCGACCCGGGGGTGCCTACCGATGCTGCATGGCCGCCGCACAGTCGTACACGCCGGTCTTTGGGAGTGGATGTTTTTGGGTTCTCAAATCCCAATCTGCTTAAGAATCGGCATGCTTTTGCTGTGTTTAGTTTTTCTTTGGGAGGTCCACTCTATCCGCCTTCCTACTTCATGTTTTTTATCTACTTCTTCCGACCGACGTGTAACCACGAGACGTGGACGCCAACTTGGGGTTGCTTCCTCGTCCTCCTGGCCACCTTCACCTCCTCATTACCCACGGCAGTATTCAATGTTTGGGCTTGCGCCCCTGCTCTCCTTGACAGCCAGGGACATTCCCCTTGCGCGACCATCCATGTATCGAACACGCGAGGCAAGGGAAGGGACTGTGGTCTGGAGGGCAAGCGAAGATTGGCGGCGAGCCCGGGAAAGTGAGAAAGGGTGGGCCTTTTCGGAAGGCTCGGAAGTCCCCAGGCCTTTAGAGAGTTTTCTAAGTTTTCCTTGGGAGACGCAAAACACTTTTCACAAGGCGCGAGGGCTCCTGAGAAGCCCCGCCGCCTTCTGAAAAGGCCTTTTCCTTTTCATTTCCTCCCCCGCCGAAGGAGGGGAAAACCAACAGATATCGATGCCGCTAACCTCAAGAAGGCATCAAGAAACCCCCCTCCCCCCCCTTCTTTCCGGTGGATTAGAACGCCCCCGCACCCTGGAGCGTTATGGCCACACCGGAGGACCTGGCTGCGGGGAATCGGGGCCTAGCTAGGGCTTCGCAGGACCTAGCAGTGCTCAGCAGAAGTTAGCAGGGGTCAGCAGAGGTGCGCAGCAGGGCCCTTAGCAGAGCTCGGCAGCTCTCAGCAGGGCTTACATGTAGCGAGGCTTACAGGTAGCAGGGCCTAGCAAGGCTGACAGGTAGCAGGGCCTAGCAGGGAGTAGTCGGGCATCGCAGGGCCTAGCATGGCTTAGCAGGCCCTAGCACAGCAGGGCTTAGCAGGGCTTAGCAGGGCTTAGCAGGGCTTAGCATGCCCTCGCAGGGCTCAGCAGGGCTTACCAGGACTTACCAAAGCTTAGCAGGGCTGAGCAGTGGGGGCTAAGCATCGCCGACCAGAATTTAGCAAGGTTTAGCAGGGCTCAGCAGGGCTCAGCAGGGCCTAGCAGGGCTTTGCAAGGCCGGTCAGGGCCTACCAGGACTTTGCAGGGCTCAGCAGAGGTTAGCAGGGCTTGGCAAGGCCTAGCAGAGCTTAGAAAGGCTTGGCAGGGGTTCGGAGGGCTTCGCATGGCTTAGCAAGGCTTGTCTGGGCTCAGCAATGCTGAGCAGGGCTTTGCAGGGCCCAGCAGAGCTCAGCAGGGCCTAGCAGGGCGTATCAGGACGTAGCAAGGCTTACCAGGGCGTAGTAAGGCTCAGCAGGGCCCAGCAGGCCTTATCAGTGCCCAGCACATGGCATCGCAGGGCTGAGCGGGGCCTAGCAGGTCCTAGTCAAATTTAACAGTGCCTAGCAGGGCTTAGCAGGGCGTACCAGGGCCCAGCAGTGCCTGACAGGTCTTAGCAGCGCAGATTTTAGCAGGGCTTAGCATGTTTTAGCAGGGCTTATCAGGGCTTAGCAGGGCGTAGCAGGGCTTAACAGGGCCTGGCAGGTCACTGCAGGGAGTAGCAGGGTGTATCATGGCTTAACATGGCTTATCACTGTTCAGCAGGGCTTAGCATGGCTCAGCAGGGCTTAGCACGGCTTAGCAGGGCATAGCAAGGCTTTGCAGAGCCTAGCAGAGCCCAGGAGGGTTTGGCAGGGCCTAGCAGGGCTTAGCAGGCCTCAGCAATCCTTGGCAGGCAAGGCTAAGCAGGGTTAGACAGGCCTTAGCAAGATTTCGCAGTGCGAATCAGGGCTCAGCAGGGCCTAGCAGGGCTTAGCAGTTCTCCGCAAGGTTCAGGGCTCCGCAGGGATTAGCAGGGCTGAGCGGAGCTCAGCAGGGCTCAGCAGGGCCTAGCAGAGCTTAGCAAGGCCTGGCAAGGCCAAGCAGGGCTGAGCAGGGCTTAGCAGGGCTTAGCAGGACGTAGCAGGACGTAGCATGCGTTAATAAGGCTCGGCAGGACCCAGCGCGGCTGAGCAGGGCTTAGGGCTCCGCAGGGCTCAGCAGACCTTAGCAGGGCTTAGCAGGGCCCAGCAGGGCCTAGCAGGGGATAGCAGGGCTACCGAACTTCAGCAGGGCGTGGCACGGCCTAGCAGGGCGGAGCAAGGCTTAACAAGCGCTCGCAAGGCTTAGCAGGGCTAGGGCTCAGCAGTGCTTAGCAGGGCTTAGCAGGTTCTAGCAGGGCCTAGCAGGGTTGGCAGGGCTCCGCAGGGCAAGGCAAGGCTCCGCATGGTTTAGCAGGACTCAGCAGAGCTTAGCAGGGCTTTGCAGGGCTTAGCAAAACTAGCAGGGCCTTAGCAGGGCTGAGCAGGGCCTAGCAGTGCTTAGCAGAGGTTAGCAGTGGTTAGCAGGGCCTAGCAGGGCTCGTAGCAGATCTCAGCAGCCCTAAGCAGGTCTTACAGGTAGCAGGGAATAGTTCGGCTTAGCAGGGCCCAGCAGGGCGTAACAGGGCCACCAGGCCTTAGCAGGGTTTAGCAGGGTTCAGCAGGGCTTAGCAGGGCTTAGCATGGCCTAGCAAGGCTTAGCAGGGCTTCGCAGAGTTTAGCAAGGCTTATTAGCAGGGGTAAGCAGGGCTAAGCAGGGGGGCCGGGCATGGCCTACCAGAGTCCAGCAGGGTTTTGCAGGGGCTGGTAAGCTTTAGCAGGGCTAGCATTTCTAAGCAGAGCTTAGCTTGTATTATGTTTATAATGTGTTACTTCTGCCTCGATTAATTCACATTCACAATCGCTGCGTGGGCGCGCCTCGGGCTGTTTGGAATTTCTGCGTCGTGCGGGTGCTGAGATAACGCGGGGGTGCGTGGCGGGGCGACGCCCTGGGCTGGACCCCCCCTAGGAAGGCCGACGAAATTCGATTTCCCTAATGGGGATGTAAAAGGAGTCGCACAGGAAGAGGAGGGGGATGAGGAGAAGGAGGAAGAGGAGGAAGAGGGGGAGGATGACTCGGGGGATCAGGACAGGGGCCCCTCAGGAACACCACAACGACGACGACCAAGACGACGACGACATTCAGATTCACTCTGTGTCCACGCCCCGGGCTCTCGGGAATTTCTGCGCCGCCCGGCGCCGACGCAACGCCTCGGCGCGGGGCGGGGCGTTGCCATCGGATGGGCTCCCCGCGAGGGCGGCCGACGAACATCGAGTTCTGTGAGGGGGGTTCAATATCTATCGCATGGGAACAGGGGGGCGAGGAGTAGCTGGAGGAAAGGGGGGGACAACGAAGAGAAAGCGCTCAGGGGCCCCAAGCACAGCCCGCGACGGTTGTAATGGAGCTTATGAAAATACCAGGTAGCATGGCAGACCAGGGCTTACCAAGGCTTGGCAGGGCTCAGCAAGGCTTAGCAGGCTTTAGCAGACCTTAGCACGGCCTAGCAAGTCTTGGCAGAGCTTATCTGGACACAGCAAGGCTTAGCCGGGCCTGGCAGGGCTTAGCAGGGCTTAGCAGGGATTAGCAAGGTTTCGCTGGGCTTGTCGGAGCTCGGCAGGGCTTGCCAGGGCTTAGCAAGGCTCAGCGGGGATCGGTAGGGCTCAGCAGGGATTCGCAGTGCATTCCAGGATGAGCAGTGCTAAGCAGGGCTCAGCAGGTAACAGCGCCTGGCAGCGAATAGCAGGGTTTACCAAAGCCTAGCAGAGCTTAGCAGTGCCCAGCAGGACCTTGCAGCGCTTGGCAGGGCTTAGCAAGGCTTAGCAGGGCTTCAGGATTTAGCAAGGCTTAGCAATGTTTAGCAGTGCTTACCAGAGCTTACCAAGGCCTGGCAGGGCTGAGCAAGGCTTTGCAGGGCTTAGATTGCCTGGCAGGGCAGGGCTTGGCAGGGCTTAGCAAGGCTCAGCAAGGCTTCGCAGAACCAAGCAGACGTCAGCAAGGCTCAGCAGGGCCCTGCAGGGCATAGCAGGGCCAGCAAAGGCTTAGCAGGGCTTGGCAGGGCTTCGCAGGGGTTCCCAGAGCTCAGAAGGGCTTGCCAGGGCCGTGCAGGGCTTAGCAGGGCTTAGCAAGGCTTGGCAGGTCTTAGCAGGGTTCATTTACCAGGCCCGAACAAGGCTGAGGAGGGCCCAGCAGGGCTCAGCAGGGCTCGGCAGGGCTTAACCTCGGACCGCGCTCGGGCCCACGCCTAGCAGGGCCCAGCAGGGCTTAGCAAGGCTTCGCATGGTTTAGCAGCGCCTAGCAGGGCGAAGCAGGCCGAGCAAGGCCGAGCAGGGCATAGCACGGCCTAGCAGGGCTTAGCCTCGGACCACGCACGCTCGGACCACTCCGAGCAGGCCATCGCAGGGCGCAGCAGGGCTGAGCAGGGCCCGCCTAGCAGGGCTTAACTAGCACGGCGTGGCAGGGCTCTGCACAGGCCGTGGCTTAGCAGGGTTTAGGAGGGCTTAGGAGGGCTTGGCAAGTCGTAGCAGGGCACAGCAGGGTTGATTTAGCAGGTCTGAGCAGGGCTTAGCAAGGCTTAGCGGGGCTCAACCTGGGACCGCGTTCCGGCCCACGCCTTGCAGGGCTTAGCGGGGCCCGGCAGGGCTTAGCAGGGCCTAGCAGAGATTAGCAAGGCCGAGCAAGGCCAAACAGGGCTGAGCAGGGCTTAGCAGGGCTTACCAGGGCTTACCAGGGGCTAGCAAGGTTTAGCAGGAGCTAAGAGGCTTAGCAGGGCTTCGCAGGGCCTAGCAGGGCTTAGCCCCGGACCGCGCTCGGACCAGGGCTTCGCAGGGCTTAGCAGGACTTCGCAGGGCTTTGCTTCGGACCAAACTTTGACCACGCCTAGCAGGCCATAGCAGGGCCATAGCGGGCCATAGCAGGGCCTAGCAGGGCTTAACTAGCAGGGCTTAGCAGGGCCCTGCACAAGGCGTAGCAGGGCTTAGCAGGGCTCGGCTGGGCTTCACAAGGCCTAGCAGGGCTGATCATGGCTTAGCAAGTCCTCTCGGCCCGCAGGCTTAGCAAGGCTTGCAGGGCTGAGCAGGGCTTAGCAGGGCTCAGCAGGGCCTACCAGGGATAGAGGTCCACAGAGATCGGGGCTAGATCCTTGACATTCGTTGCGACACCCTCTCTTGGCCTTAGTGGGGCGGCCACCGATGGATTTTGTTTTTTGTTTGCGGCGGGTGCTAAGTTTATCGTTCTGCGAAAACTGCCTGCCGGGAATATTGAAAAAAACCGGGTGCTAAGAATAAGCTGGGGGGGGGTTCTTAATGCCTGGTCAGGGTTACTCCCTGGACCTTTTGGGTCGCGTTCAGACCAGGATGTCAAGGCGAATCCAGCGGTGGCGACGAGGGCCTGCCAGGAGGCCGAAAGAGGGGAAACGCCCGAAGGGTAGCGGTATGTGTACCTTCTGCTCCTCGCTCGCCGCTGAGAAGCGCAGAGACTGCGAGCACTGTGGAGGCTCACGCGCCTTGGGGGCATGCGGGAGGGCAGGGGGCTCGGCCGCAGCAGGCGGCCTACCAGCAGGAAGGGGAACCCGGGTCCAGGCGCCCCCCCTTGTCCGCTCGGCGAGAAAAACACTACTGCCATAGCAAAGCCGGAGGGTGCTTCGCCAGAAGACGTAAAGGGCCAGAGGGGAGGTGATCCTGAGCCTGCAAGAGCCTTGAGACGGGGGGCAATGCAAGCGGGGTCAGCCAGAGCGCCGGATCCTGCTGGATCCTGCAGGGCCAGGGGCGCACTGACCCGGGCTGGGGGGGCGCAGGGTCCTGCAGGATCTCGAGGATCCTGCAAAGCTGAAGTCGGGTTTGTCCCTCTACAGAAAGGAAATAATTCAGTCATAGTCAAAAGACAATATGGGGAGTAGGTGTTGAGTATTTTTTAACCATTTTGGAGCATTTTTGGGGCATGTTTTATTTTTCGTCGAAAATCCCCTTGTAGGGGGACACGCCCGACCTAATGCAAAGCCCGACTGACCTGGGCGTGGATACACCCAGGTTCGTATAGCCCTCAAGCCCTGTCACCATGCTCGGCCTCTTGGAGCCCGTTCCAAGCCCGGGACCGTCCACGAGAATATCTGGCTGAAGCATCGCCCCCCGTGGTACACCCCTGGATCCAGAACCCGTTTCACTCAGGAACCGCTCGTCGGAGACCATGAATAGACAGGAGGCAGACGAGGGTTATGGCGAGGAATGGCTCTGGCTAGTTCATCAGATATCCGCGGTGACTGGGTGTATGGTGGCACCGGATTTGGGATATCGCCCCTGCACGACATTGCTGCATGATTGAATCACGCTGACGTGACGCAGCCACAGTAGAGGACCTGAGCGATGCGATCAATATCTCGGGAATCAGGGTTTCATCGCAGTGCCACGCATGACTAAATGTTCAGCAGTATTGTAGATGCCTTCCTAGTCTTCCACAGTATGAGGATACATGGCATGACGCGCATGTGCATGCAAGTCTTCAGATGACAGTCTCGGGCCCATCCATCAGACACTCTCAAGGTGGCTGCACGATCCCAGTATCCGTTCAATCCCCGAATCTTATCCTGGACGCGACCTCGACGACGAGGCGGACGAAAACGTGTAGGCAGACGAGGTGAAGGAAGACGACGAGAACGATGAGGCTGAGGAGGACGATGATGAAGACAAGGAAAAGGGATTGGGGGATGAGCAGGGGAGTAGTACCAGGAGGAGAAGGACAGGGCCGAAGCGCACCAGAAGGAGGGCGGTGGAGAACTTCGTGAGAGCGAGGCGCACCTGGAACACGTGGTGGTCCTGACTGGCTGCTCATCAGATGGTGGCCACTGCCTGAGTCTCGGCGGCTGCTTACAGTAGAGGCCCATGCCAAGAAACACCATGCTTGCCTCCAGGGTGCCCTAGGTTTCTTGAGTTTCGACGGTTTCGCTGTGGAAGGCATGACGTTCCCGCAGCAAAGATCAATGGACGTCCTTGGGTCTCAGGGTTGGGTTTCTTGTGGCAGGTCTCTTGTGGACTGGCCTCCACTGTAGGTGGCGGAATACAGGTGGGAGTGCGCGAGACAGTTTGCGACGATTATGTTGGGAACTTGGCCCCTCCCCACCCACTCTTTCCCTTAGATTTTCTCCCTACACACTCCTCCCCCCATCCCCCCTTGCCTTGCCCCCCCCCTCCCCCATCCCTCTCCCCCGCCCCTCCCCCAGCCTCTTCCCGCATCCCTCCCTCAAACTCCCGCCTCCCTCCCTCAAACTCCCCCTTCCCGCCCCCCTTTTTTCCTCCCCTGTTCGTGCTCTCCCCCGCTCCCTTATGCCTCCCCCTCCCTTCCCCCTCCCCCCCGTCCCTTTCCTGTTTTCCCCCCCCGTCATCCCTCCCCTCTCCCGTCCCGTCCCATCTCTCCTTCCGCTCGCCTTTCGTCCTCTGCCACCCCCCTTCCCTCTCCTTTCCCCTGCCGTTCCCCTCCCCCGGCCACGGGAGGCTTGAGGCCCACAGAAGCGTCTCGGACGCTCCCAGGGACCCAGAAAGAGGTCCCAAGCGCCCAGAAACCTCGACCCTGGATCTTCGGACGGCGACGACGACGACGATGACTTCGACGACGACGACGACGACGACGACGACGACGACGACGACGACGACGACGACGACGACGATTACGACGACGGGGATGGATCAGGTGACGGCGGCGACGGCGGTGGCGGCGGCGACAGCGACGAGGACGACCCGTGGCCGGCCCTGCATTGGAGGCGATGCAAGTGGCCACAGACGCATACGTGGACGCGCAGGAGCGGCTGGAGGAGAAGAGGGCGCAGAGCCGGCAGCTGCAGGAGCCTTGTCCCTGCTGGCGGCCTCTGAGTCGTTTCGTCGTCGCCGTGGTCGTCGCTGTGGTTTCCCATCCACGGTTTGAGGTTTCAGGGCACGTGTACACTTACGCAGTCGGACCGAGGCATAAGATCGAGGTGGGCTCGGGGAGAGTACCCTCACTTTCTTCGTGGTTGTTGGATGTTTCAATACATCCTGGGGGGGCACCCTCGGATGATCTTAAGTTTGGGCCCGCGGAGGGTCTCATGTTCTTGAAGGGTGTTCGGTCGTCTGCCCTGGGTCCGACTGTAGCAAGCCCGCCCACATTTGTCAGGAAAGGAAACAAACACACAGACACAAGTAATCGTCGACTCCCAGGAAAATATAGGAATATATGGGAAGTGGGAGGGAAGACAGACACCCAGAAAATATGGGGAGCTATGGGGAATAGTTTCATTTGTGTCTATTTATTCGTGTGTGTCCCAGGGCCCCTTCAATTTGGGACTGCACGTCCAGAGTCGAGCAGCAACTCCACCAGAGTGCTGCCCCTACCTGCGGGAGCGGCCGGTGCGAGCGCGCTCGCGCCCTCTGGGCACCCTGCAGGCGCGAACCGGAGAGGAAAGCGGGGGAGGGGGAGAGAAGGGAGGGGTAAGAGAGGGAGGGGAGGGGGGAGGGGAGAGGGGGGAGAGGCAAGCTAGGTGCGCTCGCGTCATATCTGACATCCTATACCCCTCCCTCCCATCCCTTACCATGGCGCAGATCCCCGCACAGTCGGATGTCAAGCAGGGCGATGATCCCGAAGGGGTACGCGATGCATTGTAGAGCACGGAGTGACATGGCGTAGAAGAGCACCGCGAAGCGTAGTATCAACCTAGCATTGCATTGCATGCCGTGGCATGGCACGGGAAATGACGCCAGCGCTGCAGCGGGATCACGAGTCGAAACGAGCGGAAGCGCGGAAATGAGGCCAGCGCTGCAGCGGGAGCACGATTCGGAACGAGCGGAAGCGCGGAAATGAGGCCAGCGCTGCAGCGGGAGCACGATTCGGAACGAGCGGAAGCACAGAAATGAGGCCAGCGCTGCAGCGAGAGCACGATTCGGAACGAGCGGGGCTCGAAAATGAGGCCGGCGCCTCAGCGAACGCAGCATTTTGGGAAAAATGCAAGCGAAAACTTAACTCCGGGGAAGGATTCCCGGGCGCCAGAAGTAGAAATTCAGCACTTTCAAAAGAAAAGGTTTAATTGGAATCGCATTTTTTCGGCGCCGCCTCGGAACTCGATTTTCCGGCACCGGCCAGAACCGGCTCTGGACCCGGCCCGGGCGCCGGCCCGGACGCCGGCTCGGGTGTCCGGGCCGGAACCGGCTCCGGACCCGGCTCGGGCGCCGGCCCGAGAAAAATGTGTTTCAGAATGGCCTTTTTTCGGCGCCGCTTCGGAGCCGGCCGGAACCGGCGCCAGCCGGAACCGGCTGCGGAACCAGCCCGGGCGTCCGGGAGCCTATATATATATATATATATATGTATATGTATATGTATATATATATATATATATGTAATTCAGGCAAGTTTACTTGCATGGCGTTCGCCCCCCCCCCCCTCGCCCTTCTTCAAGCGAATACTAGAGCGCAATGCCTTTCGACTTGCTTGATTTTCGCGCCCCCCCCCCCCGGGCTTGCTTCAGGCTCAGCCCCCCCCCCCGTCCATTCAAGTAAACTTGCCAGAGTCAAAAAAAAACAAGCTCCGGCCCGGGCGCCGGCTCGGGCGCCGGCCCGGGCGTCGGAATCGGCCCACCCGGGCGCCGGAAGCAGAAATTCAGCATTTTCAAAAGAAAAATATGTATAGAATGCCCTTTTTTCGGCGCCGCCTCGGAACTCCATTTTCCGGGGGCGGCTGGAACCGGCTCCGGTCCCGGCGGCCCGAGCGCCGGCCCGTGCGCCGGCTCGGGCGGCGGAAATGATGCCAGCGCTGCAGCGGGAACCCGATTCGGAACGAGCGGGGCCCGAAAATGAGGCTGGCGCTTCAGCGAAAGCAGCATTTTGGAACAACATGCAAGCGAAAACCTAACTCCGGGGTAACCTGTGCGTAAAAAAAACAGTACGCGGGGGGGGGGGGGGGGGGGGGCGAACACTCCAAAGACGTCATCAGAGGAAGAGGGAGAGTAGTATTCATATTGAGTAATTGTGGAGAGGGGAGAGAGGGGAGGGGAGGGGAGAGGAGGGGAGAGGGGTAAGCGAGCGAGGGGGGAGAAGGGAGGGGAGGGGCTGGGGAGGAGGGGAGACAGGGCACGACGGGAGGGGCGGGAGGCAGAGGTGCGCGGAGGGGAGGGGCACGAGGGGGCGGGAGGGCAGGAGAGCGCGGAAGGGGCCCCCCTCCCTCCCCCCCTCCCCTCCGCCACTCGTCGCCCCCCTCGCCCCCTCCCTCGCCTCCCTCGTCCCCCCCCGCCTCTCACTTCTCCTCGCCGCCCGTGGGGGAGAACGGGGGCGCACGGGGGGAGAGGGAGGCGGGCAGGAGGGAGCACGCGGGCAGGCGGGCGGAGGGGGCCGGAGGAGGCGGCGCCCAGGGCCGCCGAAGAGCCCCATAAGAAGGCGGCCCCGAGGTCCCGCCAGGGCGCCCCCAGCGAGGCGGCCTGGGAGGGCCCCCCCCGTGGCGCCCTCGCGCCAGGCAGGAGCGCGCCGTGGAAGCAAAGTCGGGACGGCAGGGCTTTGTCGCTGCTTTCGGCCCCCGCGTGGGGGCCCTCGCCGGTCCCGGGGGGGCCGTCGACAAAACGACGCAGGAGGAAAACCGGCCCCGGGGAACGGGCCTGGATTTCCGGGGGCGCCGCGCTGAACAGTCAGGACGTCGCGTGTCTGGGGCTGGGCCCCTCTGCCAGCCAATTCGCCAGTCAGTGCCCCTTTTCTAGCTCCTCGCCGGAGCGGAGTTCGCCGCCTCGCCGCTGAGAAGCAAAAATGTCTGGGGCTGGGCCGGCTCTGACCTCTCCACGCGCGTCCCACCACTGAGCCCCGCCGCCGCCCTGGGCCCCACCCAGAGGGCCCGCCTTCCACCGGCCCCTCCCGCCTCCCCCCGCCTCCTCCCCTCCTCTTAGGATGTTCCTTCCTACTTTGGCCTTGACCACCAGACAGAACTTCGAGCACCAGCAAAAATGCCGAAATCGAGGGTTTTGACGCGTCGGGCATTGCAGGGGACACTCTTCCGACACTGTGTCGACACTGTTTCGAGACTGCTTCGACACTCGTTCGACACTTTTCCGGGTGCTCGAAATCATTTCTGGGATGTGGCCCTTGAGTACGATGGGAGCAACATAGCCCTCCTCGCGGTCCCTCGCGAGGGCATGCCCAGAACAAAAGCTGCCGGGGCCCCCTCCGGCTGCCCCCTTGGCCCCCGTCGGCGGGAGGGGAAGCTCATCCTATACAAGAGGCGCCTCCCGCGAGGCAGTCCGGGGGGGTGGTCGAGGCGGCCCCGCCAGCTCTCTCAGGTGCTCCCCGGCAGGGGCGAGAGGCTAATTACAGTCAGCCCGCACTGCAAGGATGGGCAAACTTCCCATGGGTACCCGTGCATCCTTGCCCCCCTCGGCCCATCCTGGGCCGCCCGCGCCCCGGTCGAAGAGCTTCGAAGTGGGCGCCCGAGGCACTGACATCCTGATCCGCGCGCCCTCATGATACGGGCCGACCGTATGATCGCCACATGCCCTGATTCGCTTGTCGCGCCGCCGGCCCTGGCCCACCGCGCTTCGGGGCGACAGGCTCACGACGCTCCCTGGACCAAGCTTAAGCGTTCCGAGCACTTGGCAGCCACCCGCCCCGCGGAGTGGAGCGACACGCTGTCGGGTCGCAGGCCGCAAAAACGTGTCTCCGTGGCCCGTCGCCGCGACACGCCAACAGCAAGTTCCTGCAACACCCCCCGTCGAGGGAGAAGTGGAGGGAGATCATGTCCAGAGAAGCGATGCTTTTCTTCTCCACGCGGCACACCCCCCGTCCTCCGAAAAGTTGACAGTTTCCCTGGGGTCAGCTTCCCATCCCTAGCTGGTTTTGGATTGCCTCCGGGCCCGGCGAACGCCCCCAGAGGCCGAAAATTGCGAAGACCAGGATCCTAATTAATCTTCGTGTGCGTTGCTGAGGTGTGGGCCGCGGCGACGACTCCGACGACGACTCCGACGACGACGACGACGACGACGACGACGACGGCGGCGACGACGACGACGAAAACGACGACGACGACGGCGATGACGACGACGACGACGACGACGACGACGGCGGCGACGACGACGACGGCGGCGACGACGACGACGGCGACGACGACGACGGCGGCGACGACGACGACGGCGACGACGACGACGACGACGGCGACGACGGCGGCGGCGGCGACGACGACGACGACGTTGACGACGGCGACGGCGACGGCGACGACGACGACGACGACGACGACGGCGGCGACGGCGGCGGCGGCGGCGACGACGACGACGACGGCGGCGACGACGACGAAGACGGCGACGGCGACAAAGACGACCACGACGACGACGACGACGACGGCGGCGACGACGACGACGACGGCG